AGCTTAGTGAACTGAGTGAAATATTTAGACCAGAGATTCCAAAACTTATTTGGCCTACTGTCTCCTTTTAAAAAAAAAATTACTTAGCACCCTCCTGAAAATCTACTTTCTTTAATGCTTTAACAATTTAAAAATATATATATGCATCATTTTTTAAAATATGAAATACATATTTTTAAATAATGCATCTTAAATTTAATTATTTATTGTAAATTTCTGGGTTTTTTTCCTACATTGAAATTTTGATGATGCAATATTGTGTCATATAACCTTATACATATTGTATTGTAAATAAGCCATTACACGCACATATTCCTGCCAATGCATGCTTTATTTCCTGACAATGCGCAACAGGTTCACCAGCCAACACTTGCTTGTTAAGACCTGTTGGTGGACTTGACCACTGATCAGATTATAACTTCCATTTTGTGTGTTTATTTGGGAAATAATGTAATCACTACAGCTTTAACTCAGTTACACAACAAATAAAACATGTACAAATGGTTTTTAAAATTTTTCTTGTCTTCTCTTTTTTTCTTATGCTTCCACCATCCCCCAATTGCACCCAAGGCTACTACTGCCCTCCTCAATCATCCTAGCACCCTCTAGGGGGTGGTATCTCCCATGTTGGGAAACCTCTGGTTTTAGACTGATCACTGTGGTGATAAAGAAAATACTTAAATAAATAACCTAAGTAGATGTGTAACAGATTAAAGAAATTTGGCAGCCAATGTGACGAATTCCAAGCACCGAGCACATAAATTTGAAGTGTCCTTTACCATATTTTTTCCAAGCAGTGAGAACTTCCTTCACTGCTCATTCTGAGTACTAGTGAAGTGGCCACACACTTATAGAACTAGAAGTCTCCAGGACAGGTACCATATAGGAAAGTAATTTCCAAGCAGAATTGAATTGAGCCATTATCCCAGTATGTGGGCTATTGGCGTTTATTGAATTGTTGTTATTTCGTTTTCAGTCACATCTGACTTTTTATGACCTCATTTGGGATTTTCTTAGTAAAGATGCTGGAGTGGGTAGCCATTTCCTTCTCCAGCTCATTTTACAGATGAGGGAACTGAGGCAAACAGCGTTATGTGACTTGCTCAGGGTCACACAGCCAGTAAGTGTCTGAGGCCAGATTTGAACCCAGGAAGTTGAGTCTTCCTGACTCCAGGCCCAGCACTTAATCCACTGTGCCACCTACTTGTCTGTTTATTGAATATTAGGGTATTGAATTTGCTTCTTTGTGTTGTATACCTGTTCTATTCCACTGATCAATTTAATCAGCACCCAATTATTTTAATATTTACTGCTTTATAATGTAGCTTAAGATTTGGCATTAGTAGGCTTCCTTCCTTCCCATTTCTTTTCATTATTTTTCCTGAGATTCTTAACTTTTTTCTTCCTTTTGAATTTCTTTTTTCTAGCTTTATAAAGTTTGATTGGTATGACATTGAATAAGTAAATCAATTTAGTTAGCATTGCCATTGTCATTATTTTGGCTTATCCTACCTGTGAGCAATTAATATTTCCTGATTATTTAGGTCTGTCTTTATTTTTAATAAACAGTTGTTTATATAGGTAGGTAGGTGGTACAGTGGATAAAATACCAGGCCTGAAGTCAGGAAGACCTGAGTTCAATTGCATCCTTTGATGCTTACTAGCTCTGGGACCCTGGGTAAGTCAGATAACTTCTGTTTGTTTCAGTTTCCTCATCTAGAAAATGGGGATAATAATAGCACTCACCTCCCAGGGTCGTGAGCATCAAATGAGACAATAATAATTGTAAATTGCTTAGCACAGTGCCTAGTATATAGTAAGTGCCCTATAAATGTTAGCTGTTATTATTATATTTAAATAGTTCTTGCATGTATCTTGGAAGAAATATTTTATGCATTCTGTAGTAATTTAAATGAAATATCTCTTCCTTCTGGGTTTTATCAGTATTCTGTAGAAGTGCTAATGATTTTTGTGGATTGTGATGGAGTACTGTTGTGGTGTAAGAAATGAGAAAATAGATGATTTTAAAAAGATGGAAAAACTTACATGGACTGTTGCAAGGTGAAGTGAGCAAAATCAGAAGAATAATTTATATTTTGATATCAGTGTTATTTTTTAAAATGAAGAATTTTATAATCTGATAAAGAATGAAATAAGCAGAACCAGGAGAACAGTTTATATGATAAAACATTACCAATAAAAATTTTGCAAGCTGTAAGAACTGTGATCAGTACAATGACCATTCATGATCCAGTGTTGATAAAACATAATATCCATTACAGAAAGGTGAGTTATAATGCTATCCACTATAGAAAGGTAGAATGAGATATATATAGATAAGTTTGTAGATAGATAGATGACAGATATGCATATGTACTACATAGATAGGAAAGTAGATAATGTACATATACATAGATAAGTACTTACGCATATCTATCTACCTACCTATCTATGTAGAATGCAGTCATTGAAAGATTTTGTTTTGCTTGACTCTGCATATTTGTTCCAAGAAATTTCTCTTTTTCTTTTGCCAAGGGGGTAAGGGAAAGAAGGAGAGAAAATAGATTTAAAAAAAATTTTTTTTGACCTAGAGAAGTGGGAGGTAGAGGAGGCTACTGTATATGTGAAATGTTGCATGTGCTTTGAAATAAGGTTACTATATCAGTTTTATTTATTAGTTTTATTTTGTATCAGGAGACCTCAAGAAGTGGGAGTAACCTGTAAATGTAATATAAAAACAAAATACATTGACAAAAATTTAAAAATAAAATGAATTGAAACTGTAAAAGACATCAGCATTTAAACGAGCTCAATAGCCAGTATTTGATCACAGAGGATATTAATAGGGTCATCACATGATCATAGATTTAGGGCTGAAAAGGACAATAGTCAAAATAGACAATATCTAATCCAACACCCTCATCATATAAATGAGGAAACTGAGGCACAGGGTTGTTAGCTGTCTTACCCAAGGTTTTAAAGGCTGTAAAAGTGGCAGACTGGAAGTCATTTCTCTCCTCTCTGTATAAAGAGAATAGACTATGGATAAAGTATGTTTACATATGCTGTCCAACACGGCTGACATGTCATGTTGGTTTTATTTAATCATTTCTCAATTTTACAAAAGAAGGCTCTGATGCGTGGGGAGAAGTGTTGGTCATGGCAGTGACATGATATAAAAACAGCAACAAAGCAATCAATTACATTTTTAAAAAATAGATAAAATGAAGTTGTTGGATGAGTTAAGTTCCCTTCTAGCTCTAGATTCTTGATCTGCTTTTCTTGGCCTATTAGCTTGCTTGCTGCAAGATCTGATAACTCGCAAAAACACCTACATTTTTGCTTCATTTGCCTATGTGCCCTTGTATTCTTTTATCTGTAGGCCAGCATAATTGTCAGGCTAAGACAGAAAAGGCCTGGGGCTATCAGCACACGTTGTTGTTAAGAATAGTGATAATAATAATGTCATACTTTAAGGTTTGTAAAGCACCATATATGTTTTCTTAATTGATCCTCACAACAATCCTGTGAGGTAGATGTTATTATTATCCTTGTTTTACAGATGAATATACTGAGGCAGACAGAGGTTAAGTGACTTGTCATACTGCTAGTTCACATCTGAGGTAGGATTAGAACTCAGTTCTTTCTGACTCCAGGTCCATCAGTCTAGTCACTCACTTTGTGAATGCTTGTTGTCTGATGTCAGTGACCAACAGCGCCCTGGTCCCACCTATCAGCTAACTATCATGAGTAAAGGATATAGAATTCTTCTTTAGGCTAAATCAATTCAATATGTTGGGTTTTTTTGGTTTTTTTTAAAGAAGGCATTCCACAGCCCTATTTGACCTGAGAAAGGATGGCAACTATATTAGCAGTATTGGTGTTCAGTCAGTCATATCATTTTATTAACTGGTTATCCCACTTTGTAAAGAGTTGAGCTAGAAGGGTCCAACTTCATTATTGTCAATGGCTGAAATGACTGATTGTTCCTAGACCCAGTGAAAGTAAATTGAAGAAATTAAATTTAGTTTTTCAAAACCAAAGGAAAAAAGACATGAATTGAAGTTGTATAAAAATCTCTTCCCCCCAAATCATCTCAGTTCATGTAAATCAAATTGGAATAATAGAACATCTCAAGTTACTTGAAGAAAGCTGCCGAGCGAAGACTCAGAAAAGACCGAAAGTGGTATGAGAAGAAAATGTTTTAAAACATTTTTTTTCATTCTTTTCCACTAAAATCTTTCTTTATTATCTCCTTGTGGCAGAGAAGTAGCCCTGGGTTCATGAAAGCTTAAGACAATGAAACACATGTTCTGTCAAGTCACAGAATCAGAAATTTAGAACTCCAAGAAACATTAGATGTCATCTAGTTCTACTGAGTCATTTTACAGATGGGGACGATGAGGCTCAGAAAAGTGAAGGGATTGCCTAAGATTACACATCTAATAACTAGCTCTTGGTAGACTGTGTCTTTCCATGGACCATCATAGCTAAGTGGTGAGTAGCTTATCACAAGGTTGTCTACAAGATGTTAGGATTATAAGATCATGTAGTCCAACACCTCATTTTACTGATGAGGAAACCAAGGTCCATAGAGTGGTGAAGTGATTCCCCCAAGGTCACATAGATAGGAAGTGGCAAAGCAAAGATGCAAATCCAGCTCCTCTGATGCCACTTCTAGCTCTCTTTGCGTTGTGCCCCCATTAATTTTGCAGCCACAGCAACTTTTGGATACCATCAATCTACTGAGACACAGAGGGGTTGGGATCTGGGTTGGTGGAAGGAATAGCCATGTTGACAGAATCATAGACCCCTGAAGTAGATATATTCAGGAAGCCCCAGGGAGCCATGCTTCCTCACCTTTTCTTAATGATAGGAAGGTCCATTGCCATCTTTGATTTTACTGGGCTCTAGATGCAACAAAATCCTTGTAAGCTAATGTTACGTGGTTCAGTTGGTAAATTACTCTTGTTTATGTTTTGTTTCACTTCCTCCTCCAGTTTTCAGAGGGGAATCAGAAGAAAGAGAATCTGCAACAAAGCATCAAGAAAGCCAAAATTGGCCGTCAAGACACGGTAAGCTCCTTCCATCTTTAGTTTCTTTGACAATAACGCCCCAGTATTGGCCAAAGACAAAGATCTTGGAGCAAGAAATGTATATCGCACCCAGCAGGCTTCTGTAATCATGAAGCTGGGTTTTGGCTTGGCCTAATTCTCTTTGAGGTGGTTTTCTATTAATCCTCCATTTCTGAATGCCATCGACGCACTGTCTTTTGTGTGCTCATGAGAAATTTAAATGACTTAAAGGATCCTTGCATGAAAAAAAAATGTTCATTTTCTTTGATCTAGCATTACAGATAAAAAATCATCAGTTTTGCTACATTCCTCAGCCCAGAGAAACACTGAAGAGCAGATTAAAATTACATTCTACCTGGGTGATAGCAATAAAAAGTTCTGGTGGCCTATGTTTAGCAGCAATGTTTGAACTTCCCTTCTAATGACAAAAAAGGACTTGACACTTTCAGAAAATGAGAAAGAAACAATAGCAGTACTACACAATTGTAGCATTTTATACTTTTCAAAGTATTTTCATACATTCTTATTTGAGCAGTCAGCACAGTCATGGATAGGAATAGAAGGACAACAGCAACTTCTTTTCTTAAAAGAAGCTCACTATTGCATTTTGTTTTCATGGCTTAGTCATCCCCTCAACTCTTCCCCATCCTACACAGAGCCCTTCCTTGTAACAAAGGAAAAAAATTGAGCAAATCTAAGGAACATCATGATAGTGTATATCCAGCATTCCATATACCTGGACCCCACTTCTCTGCTGAGAAGAGGAAGGTAGATGTGTTTCATTGGTAATTCTCCAAAACTGAGCCTTTCATTGTAGTTCATGAGAGTTAATCACAAAAGATAAAGTAGATTTTGATCATGTGAAATTGAAAACCTTTTGCATAAGCAAAATCAACGCAACTAGGATAAGAAGGGAAGCCATCAGTAAGAAACTAACACAAATACATAAAACCAAGAGCTGTTTTCCAATGGATAAGGGTATGAACAAATGACTCTCAAACCCATTTATAAACTACACTAGTAATTAGAGAAATACACATCAAAATGACTGAGGTTCCCCTGCATGCTTAGCAAATAAGCAAAAAGTGACAAAAGATGGAACTTGTCTAGGAGTGGGGACCTGCTGCCTCAAGGCCACATGTGGCCCTCTAGGTCCTCAAGTGCAGCCTTTTGACTAAATCCAAACTTCACAGAACAAATCCCCTTAATAAAAGGATTTGTTCTGTAAAACTTGGACTCAGTCAGAAGGCTGCAACCAAGGACCTAGGAGGCCATGTGTGGCCTTAAGGCCGCAGGTTTTCCACCCCTGAACTAGTCAGTCTTGAAAGTGTTGTGGAAAAGGAAGCACACTGATATAATGTTGGTGGAAGTGTCAATTGGTCCAATCATTGGTCCACATTCATCAAAGTGATTTGGAATTGTGAAGGGGACTAAAAGAGCCATATCCTTTTGACTCAGTAATCCCACTGCTAGGCATAGACCCCTAAAGAGGACAAAGATAGAAAAGAAAGACATATGTTCTAAAATATTTATGGCAGCACTTTTTGTAGTAGCAAAGAACTGGAAACAAAGTAGATACCAACCAGTTGGGGAAAGGCTAAACAAATTGTGGTATATGAATGAGAAAGAAGGGAGGGAGGGAGGGAGGGAAGGAGGGAGGGAAAAAAGAAAAGATGGAAGAAAGGGAAAAAAAAGAGTGAGGAAGGAAGAAAAGGAAGATTAGAAGGACAGAAGAAAGGAAAAAAGGGAGGGAGGAGGGAAGGAAGGAATGAAGGAAGGAAAGGAGGGAAGAAGGAAGAAAGGGAGGGAGGAAGGAAGAAAGAAAGGGAAGGAGGAAGATAGGAAAGAAGGACAGAAGAAAGAAAGAAAGGGAAGGAGGAAGAAAAGAAGGGAGAGGAGAGAAGAAGGAAGAAAGGGAGGGAGGAAGGGAAGGAAGGAAAGGAAATTATTATTTATTTACTACATGCCAGGCACTGTGCTATTCACTTGGGATACAAATACAACTCAAAAGAGCTACAGTCTCTGCTCTCAAAGACCTTACATTCCAGTGGGGCAGGATCACATACAGTAAGGAGCTGAAAAGATGCCTCCCAATGAAAATATGATTTTGAAGTCCAGAAAGTCAGAAACAGGGTCAGGAGGGGAATGAAGGAAGACTGGCCAAGGTCCCTTCACAGTCCAGGAGGAACTTACTTGGAGTTCCTGGGAGAAGAGGGGCAGACCTTGTGGAGGAAGCGATGTTGGTAGGATGTTCCAGGGCAGGGAATAATGGAATATTATTATGCTGAAAGAAATTATGAATATAATAAATAAGGAGAAACGTGCAAAGACTGTCATGAACTGATGCAGAGCTAAGTAAGTAGAACCCAGAAATCTACCTACATGTGACTACAGCAGTGTAAATGGAAAGAATAATAGCAACCAAAAAAAATGTGTAATTTAATGACCAAACTTGAAGGCAGGAAGAGAAAATGCACCCTCCCCTCCCTTCTTTGCAGAAGTAGGAAACCCTGGGTGTGAATCATCGGCTATACTGTTGGACTCAATTGATCTGTTAATTAATTCTGCCAAACTGGTTTTTTCTTTCTCTCTTTTATTCTTTGTTCCATGGGACGTCTATCTGGGAAGTAAGGATTATATCTGGAAATGAAGGTGATGCTAAAATAAAAAATGTCAATAACATTTTTTAAAAAAACCCAATTAATTAGAAATTCAGTCGCTTTTGGAGCGTTACATTATTGTGTGTATTCTCTTGGTTCTACTTTCTTCATTCTGCATCAGATGATAAAAACCTTGCCATATTTCTCTGGATTCCTCATGTTGATCTTTTCTTATGATTACAATGACATTCCAGTGACAGAAACTTCTAAAGACACTTCTCAAGGGACAACATGTTCTGAATAGCTACCACAAATAACCTGGAAGTATTTTGTTGTCTTCAGTAGGCAAGCCGCAGTGGTCACTTTTTGACACTGCTTCCCCTTTAACATTGGCAATTCTGGGTAGAAAACACCTTCAAGTTAACGGGAAATGCTGGCACTGAGCTTGGCAGCCTGGCTGCTGAATGTTAGCTATTGCTTTGTGGTGCTTCCTAAACAGGAAACACTTTCAGCTAGGTGAGAAAAGGAGTGGGTGTTGTTTTCAGCTAGGAATAGAAAGTCGTTGTGCAAGAATCTCTTGGGACAGAGACTTTCTTTGGCTTCCTTGTCTATAGTTTTTTGAGAGACCTCTCACTGGCCTGTCTGCTCCTCTTGCTGCTCATTCCACCATTACCAAAGAGTCTTTCTCATATTTTCCCTTCTCCTTAACTTTCACTCTACTAGTTATACATGGCATTCAGTTACACTTAAATAGATGGCAAAGTCCTTGGTCGAAACACATAGGACATCCTCTGATGAAACTCAAAAGTCTCGACATCGTCTTCACCAGAACTTGGATCTGTGGTAAGAAGCAGGCTGAGAACAAAACCTTAGACAAGTCTCATTAGACAAATTGGGTTTTACAACTTTTTGTTGCAGATTTGTAATCCAGTATAGTGCCTGGCCATGGTAGGCACTTAATAAATGCTTGTTGACTTGACAAGTGAGTTTAAGAAAATTTTTTATTCATGCTTTCTTAAAAAATTACAGCCATTTCCCCATAATCCTCCCTCCTCCCAATAGAACTCTTCCTTATTAATAAAGAAACACAATTATGCAAAATAGATCAATACATTGGCTATGTCTGACATTATGTATGTAGTTAAGTTGTGTTCCATCATCTTTGTAATGCCAGTCAGGAGGCATACTTCACGATTGTCAACGCACTAAAGTCACTGTTGGTCCTTGCGCTGATCAGAGTTCATAAGTCTTTCATTGTTGTTTTCCTGTACATTATTGTGTAAATTGTTATCCTGGTTCTGCTTAGATTTGTATCAGTTCATATAAGTCCTCCTGAGTTTCTCAGAATTCTTCATATAGTTAGTTATCTAAATGCCATAGTTTGTTCAACCATGCCTCAATCAATGGGCACCCACCTTGTTCCTTGTTCTTTGCTACTACAAAAAATGCTACTATATGTAATTTTGTATATATGCAACCTTTCTTCCTTTGACCTCCTGGAATACATGTCTTAGTAGCTGTACCATAGAGCCCTCCAGTATTTGGGAATTTTATGTCTTCTAACCTGCTACTGTATTCTTATGGTCATGAACAGAGAGACAGAAGCGCCCTAATTCTAATTTTTGTTATATTCACCCCAATGGCTATTCTAAACCTTCTCTCTTCTACTCAGGCTCCTGGTTCCACTATCTTATCTCTTACTCCCAACAGATGACTTCACCTTCTACTTCACAGATCCTGATGCCATCTGATGGATCACTTTCAACTGCCTTCTCTCTACTCCTTTTAACTTCTCACTGTCTCAGCCTCCTTTTTCCCCTCTAGTTTCAGAGGATGGGATAATCCTCCTTGTCAAAGTTAACTCCTATTACACCTTTGTACTCGATACCATCACCTTCTGTCTCTTCTATGATCTTGCATTTTCTCTCAAAATTTTTCAATATCTCCTACCATATTGATGACTTTTCAGCCTACATGCATCCTCAGGCCTACATAAAGAAAAAAAAAACACCACCACCTTCTTTTGGGTCTACCTTTCTCAACCCCACCCATTACCAAACAGCTAGAAAAAAAATAGTCTGTTTTCATTCTCTCAATTCATCAACAATTTTCTGTTTTTTTAATTAAATTTTTTAGAATATTAATTTATTTTAAGTATTCATCTTTAAAAAAGTTTAAGTTTCAAATTCTCTACCTCTTTCTAGCCCTTTCTCCAACCATTGAGAAGACAAATAATGTGATACCCATTATACAAGTGAAGTCATGTAAAATATATTTCTGTATTAGTCATGTTGCAAAAAAAAAAAGGCAAGAAGAATAAAGAAAGTGAAAAAATTATAATTTGTACTTAGAGTTCATCAGTTCTCTCTCTGTGGGAGATAACATGAGTCCTTTGGAAGTATCTTGGATCATGGTATTGGTGAGAGAGATCTTTCACAGTTGATTATCATGACAGTATTGTTGTTACTGTATACAGTGATGTCCAGGTTCTGCTCACTTCACTCTGCATCAATTCTTCCAGGGGTGGGGAACCTGCAGCCTTGAGCACACATGGTCCTCTAGGTCCTCAAGTGCACCCTTTGACTGAATCCAGGTTTCCCATCCCTGATTAACCTTCCCAGATTTTACTAAAACCATCTTACTTGTTATTTCTTAAAGCAAGAGTATTCCATCATAATCATATACCACAACTTTTTCAGCCATTCCCCAGTTAATAGGCATCCCCTCAACTTCCAGTTCATTGCCCCCACAAAAAGAGCTGCTATAACTATTTTTGTACATGTAGGACCTTATCTTTTTTTTTTTTTGCTCTTTTTGTGGTACAGACCTAGTACTGGTATTGCTGGACCACAGGGTATATACACAGTTTTATGGTCCTTTGGACGTGGTTCCAAGTTGTTCTCCAGAATGGCTGGACCAGTTCACAACTTCACCAGTGGTGCATTAGTGCTACTACTTTTCCATATCCCATCCAGCATTCATTATTTTCATTTTCTGTCTTGTTAGCCAGTCTGACAGGTGTGAGGTGGCACTTCAGAGAACAACAATTTTCTTGGTTATGGAACGCCTCAATCCTTTACAAATTGTCTTCCATTTTTACCACTATATTAAAAATAGCTTTCCCCAAGATCACTGATGACCAGCTCATCACTAAGTCCAGTGATCTTTTTTTCTGTCTAGATTTTCTTTGCCTTCTCTATAGCATTTGATGCTGTGAACCACCTTTTCTTTTTATATCCTCCTTGTTCTATACCCACACCTTCTCCCTTGTGAATATTCTCATTATTATTATTTTCTTATCTCTCTGACTTTTTTCTCTGCCTCTTTTGCTGACTCCTTATCATCCTCTTGCCCCTAAAATATAGATATTCCCAAAGATTGTCAGTGACCTTTTGTCTTCTTTCTGCCTTTACATTCAGTTGTTCTCTACTCTCATGGCTTCATTTACTACTTTTATGCAGGTGACCCTAAAATTGTCTCCTTCTCCTAGAACTACAGTGCTGTATCTTAGTTTCCTGTTCTGGACATTTCCATCTGGATGGTCCACCAGCACCTCCTACACTGCATATCCAAAACTGAGCTTAGCAACATCTCCCCAAACCTGTTTCTCTCCCGATTTGCCATTTTCTTTTAATAGCACCATCAGTGTGCTCCTAGTAATCCATGTTTATAACCTTAAAGTCATCTTTTGTTCTCTTTCTCCATAATGTTGTTGTTGTTGGGTTGTTTTCAGTCATGTCTGACTCTTCATGACCCCATTTAGGGTTTTCTTGGTGAACATCCCAGAGTGCTTTGTTATTTCCTTCTTCAGTTCATTTTACAGATGAGGAAACTTGAGACAAACGGGGTTAAGTGGTTTGCCCAGGGTCATACAGCTAGTAAGTATCTGAGGCCAGATTTGAACTCATGAGAATGAGTCTTCCTGACTTCAGACCTCGTGCTCTATCCACTGCATCCCCTCGCTGCTGCCATAGTATATCCCACATCTATTTGATCTTTTCCATTCTTATTGCATACATTGTAGATCAGGCTGTTATCTCACTCTAATAGTCTCCCAACTGCTGCCTTGTCTATAATTCTGAGATTCCCAACCTAAGGGTACATGTACCCTGAGCAGTATAAGAAGCTTGTCAAGGAGGTGGTACAGAGAATGTTTGATTAAAAAAATAATTATATTGTCCTATTGAAATTAACACAGTTTATTTTTTAGGTGCATATACATAGTAAACTCTAGTATTTATTTCCTTTCATATTGAATAGGTGGTTTGAGAAAGTGATGTGGGTTCCTAATCTAGCCCTTACCTAATTCATCCGCCATATCCTTTTCTAAATGTTCCTTCTTAATACATGTCTCTGTGGTGGCTGCTCCTCGACATATGTACCTTCTGTGGCTCTCCGTTATCTGCCAAATAAAGTATCAACTCTTAATCCTGGAATTTGAGGTCATCAAGAACCTGGTTCCAATCTACACTTCCAACCTCATTTCATATATTTGATATATTCAGCACTCCAGCCAGATTGTATACCTCACTTCTCGCTATCCCTCTGACTTTCTCTGTCCCAAACTGAAAGCAAGACTGTATTGCATAGTGGATAGAGCATTAGACCTTGAGTCAGAAATACCGGAGTTTGAATATGGCCTCAGTTACCAACCCCTTCTGTGCCCCATGGCTTACTGGTCTCAGCCTCACTTTCCTTATCTGTAAAATAAGGATAACAATAGCTAGCCTCTACCATACAGGGTTGCTGTGAGAATCAAGTGATATATTATGTGTACAGTACCTTTTAAACCTTAAAGCTCTGTATGAACGTTAGCTATTATGAATCCTCATGTGTCTCATAGCACTGTGCCTGGACCCCTACTTTGTACTTACCATAGCTGTACACCTGTCTTTCCCCGGATTAGATTATAAGTTTCTCAATGAGAGCAAGCTCTGTTTATTTTTGTATCACTGGCATAATGACTCTCACACAATAGAAACATATAATAAAGGTCTGTTGAAGTGCATACTTAAAACTTTCTACCTGTTAGGAAAAACTGGGACTAGAAAGTTCTGTTGCTGGTTATTGGATCACATTTCCATTTAAAACTTAGATTTGACCTTCTATGAAAGAAAGGTGGTGCAGTGAGTTAAGATTAACTCTTCTCTTGTCTTCCCCTTCCTCAGTCTCTCCCACACTACCTTAAATGTATGTGACTTTAGAGCGTTAATGGTAAGGACGTAATAAATACTTGTCAAATTGAATTAAGTGAGAAATACAAGAGAGAGAGAGAGAGAGAGAGAGAGAGAGAGAGAGAGAGAGAGAGAGAGAGAGAGAGAGAGAGAGAGAAAGAGAGAGATGGAAGGACAGAAAGTATAGTGGTAAGAAAGTAAAATTTTGAAATTTGGGATCTAGAGAGATGTTTCAGTGAATTCTATGGATCTGGAATTCGTCCTGACTACCACTTATAACTGAGTGTCTGCCAACTTAAATATTCCTGATTGGTGGTGAAGACTGTAGGAAGATTCGGATAGTGATGATAAAAAATAGATAAAATATCTTTATTTGAATTAAATCAGTTGTGTTAAGGACACAGTTATGGTCTACACAAGTTTTTACAAGCCAGATTTTGAGGGAAACATGAAGCCAGTATTTGGACTAACACTGTTTTAAAGAGAAATTTAGGAAGGCATTCCCTCTGCAAACCACGCCCCCCACACACACACGGTTGCTCTGTGATAAATTTATGTTAGGAATCACACAGGATGAAAAAGCATTGATGACTTGTAGTCTATATTGTTGGAGAGGTTATTCACGTTGGTGAGGTAGCAGATCTATTTGAATATTAGTGTATTTTTAAAAATATCTAACTTAGATAAAAAAAAAAGGAGGGGCAGCTAGGTGGATGGAGCACCGGCCCTGATGTCAGGAGGACCTGAGTTCAAATCCAGCCTCAGACCAAACACTTGACCGTACTAGCTGTGTGACCTTGGGCAAGTCACTTAACCCCTATTGCCTCACTAAAATAAAAAAAAAATTGTATCTAACTTGGCCATTCATAGACAGTATTCATAACACAATGCTTGGCACATAATAGGTGCTTAATAAATGTTTATTGATTTATTGATGTGTAGTTTGAGCGGTAATCACACTGTCTACTCATGAATGCTCATTTCATCATATCCTTACATCCTACATCCAAGAAAGAAACATGGTGTTTTAGGGAGACAGAGATATGAATAGTGACTGCTTTATTTATACTTCACTGGTGCTTTGTGGATAAGAAGAACAGTAAAAGACATTGAGGATATGAATGCCTGAAAAAAGAGAAAGGATGTTGTACAAGAATGAGATTTGCATTTAAGTACCTCCAAGATTCTGGAGGACTAAGATCACATTGGATGGCTCTTCTGAGAATAATTTATGGGAAAACATGGACAGAACTCATTGGAGATGAGAAGGCAGTTGGGGGGTTGTAATCTACATCAGAATGGGGGGAAGCCCAAACTGTTAAAAATCAGGGATTTTCCGGGGCAAAAGGGAATTGTTAAGGAGATAAATTAGTCTCTAGCTTAACCTCCCTGTAACTAAGCCTATTAGGTGTTGGGCAATGAGAAGAAATAAAATAAGGAGCAGCATGATGAAAATAGAATTAGAGGTGGAGTCAGGAAGGTCTGAATTGAAATAATACTTAAGACATTTGCCAGCAGTGAAACGCTGGGGGAAAAAATTTTAATCACTCTGGGCCTTAGTTTCTTCATCTATAAAATGAAAGGAATGGCCTCAATCTCTGAGGTTCTTTTCAGTTTTATGTCTTTGATGAAATCCTATGGAAATGCATGTTCGATTTGAGCTTTTTCTTAAACCAGATTTTCTTTGTGATGATTGTAGCCCATGACATTATTTTGAACACAGGAAGAACGTGCTTCACTCTCAAAGGAGCTCGCTTCCCTCCAGCAGAAGAAGGAGGAGCTGAAGGCTGAATTGGAAAAATACAAAGAATGTGATCCTGAAGTTATAGAAGAAATACGTAAGTATGCTTCCTGGCTTGAGTGTGCTTAAGGTCTGCAGTGAATAGAGCCTTAAACCCTGGAAGCCTTTTATAGGTAAATCAGTGAAAGAATTGTTGCTCTGTTTACTTTGATACCTTCTGTTTCTTTTTTCTGATATTTTAAATGTTAAGCCAGGGCAACTTTAGCAAAGTTGCAGGATACAAAATAAATACGCATAAATCATCAGCATTTCTGTGTATTACCACTGAAGTCCAGTAGCAAGAGATAGAGAAATTCCTTTTAAAATAACTATAGACAATATAAAATACTTGGGAGTCTACCTGCCAAGACAAACCCAGGAACTATATGAACACAACTATAAAACACTTTTCACACAAATAAATTCATATTGGAAAAATATTAATTGCTCATGGGTAGGCTGAGCTAATATAATAAAAATGGCAATTCTACCTAAACCAATCTATTTATTCAGTATCATACTAATCAAGCTATCAAAAAGTTGTTTTATAGAGTTAGAAAAAAAAATAACAAAATTCATCTGGAAGAACAGAAGCTCAAGAATATCGAGGGAATCAATGAAAAAAATGCAAAAGAAGCTGGTCTAGCCATACCAGATCTCAGACTGTGTTATAAAGCAATAATTATCCAAACAATCTGGTACCAGCTAAGAAATAGAGTAGTGGATCGGTGGAATAGATTAGGTACAAATTACATTATAGTAAAAGACCATAGTAATCTAGTATATGTTAACCCAAAGATCCAAGCTTTTAGAACATAAACTCATTATTTGACAAATACTGCTGGGAAAACTGGAAAGCAGTAAGGCAAAAACTAGGTATAGACCACCATCTCACACCATGTACCAAGATAAGGTCAGAATAGGTACCGTGATTTATACATAAAAGGTGATACTATAAGCAAATTAAGAGAGCATGGAATAGTTTATCTGTCAGATATATGGATAAGGGTAGAATTTAGGACCAAAGAAGATACAGAGAGCATTACAAAATGTAAAACAGATAATTTTGATTATATAAAATTAAAAAGTTTTTGCACAAACAAAACCAATGCAACCAAAATCATAAGGAAAGCAGAAAACTGGGGAAATTTTTTTACAATAAGTATCTCTGACAAATGCCTTATTTCTAAAATATATAGAGCATGGCAAATTTAAATTTGTACACAGCAGTAGCAATATTGTTTGATGAAGAACTGTGAATAACTTAGCTCTTCTCAGCAATGCAATGATCCAACACAATCCCAAAGGACTCATGATGAAGCGCACTATCTGCCTCCAGAGAAAGAACTGATATTGTTTGAATACAGACTGAAGCGTGCTATTTTTCACTTTCTTCCTTTCTTTCATTTTTTCTTTTATTCTAGACTTCTTGTACAAAATGACTAATATGGAACTGTTTTATATCAATGCACATGTATAACCTATACCTAATTGCTTACCATCTCAGGGAGTGGGGAGGGAAGAGAGGGAAGGATAAAATTTGAAACTCAGAACTTTAAATAAAAAGGTTAAAAAATTGGGAAAAAATGCTTATTGAATGCAAATAATGAATATAATGTATCACTTTGATCTGTAAACCTAAGTAAGGAGAAATAAGAAGTTATTTGATGGCTTCTCAGATTTATGGGATAGGAAGGGATTGTTATAAAAGCTTAACCACTTAACTATAGAAGAAATTACCAATTGTCCTGTATTAAAAGCATTTATTTCAGTATGTTCATTTGGTTATGCCACCCCTACTTCTGAACTTTCTCTGAAAATACACCAGATGCTTAGAATGAATCACTTAACCATTCAACCTACCAAACCTCTTCCCTCCATTATTCAAACAACCCTTGAAATCTTAGGTCCTTGATGAATCCTACCTAGACTAATTAGAGGAAAATTAAACTTTTTGCAAGCCTCACTTTGTCTGTGAACAAAACTGTAATAGATGTCTCTTCCTACCCTCCCAAAATATGTTAAAAATTAGTGTAATGTAAAGACTTAATCAGGTCTCTTAACATGTGTATTAGAAGGTAGGTTTTTATGTGTTTTTTTTTAATCGTACTGATTTTTTTAGATTGTTTAAATTTTTTTTAGTTTTCATCATATTAAAAGGTTTTGTTCAATGTTTTCATTATATATATATATCTGATATATATATATATATATATCACTATATATATATAGGCGTATGTATTTATATGTATAGATGAGTTGTAAACTGTATTAGGTATATCACTCTTGGCAGGATACTCAGTAATTAAAACTGGAATTCAATGTCTCTGGAGGTAGTAGAGTTCCCTTCACTGGCCATCTCTGAGCAAAGCTTGATTTTGTTTGGGTATGTTATGTGGGTGGGTGGTGGGTTCCTGTTCAGGTTACAGGTGGAGCAAGATAACTTTTGTGATGTTGCTCCAACAGTTCATTACTTCTTTCTCCACACCCACCACTGCCCTTAGCATCTCTTCTCCCTGTTGAATGAGAAATTGAAACTGAGTTTTGTTCAATATTATCCCAGTTATATTTTTAACAACTTTTTTTTTTGCAGAGGATTTAATATTAGGAAAATGCACCTTACAGAAATTCCTCCATTTTTATGGTACATTGGAGTTTTTCAATGAATGTTGAAATGTTTAATAACAGCTGTTCACAGAAATTATAAGCATTTTGAAATCTGAGGGGGTAGAGAACACAAGACACAGGGTTAAACTTGACAAAAGGGTCATATGAGAGATTAATTTATCACTGAATATCTTGATTCTAGCAAGAGATCTGCTGCTACCATGAAGAGGGTATCATGATGGTACCATCAGAAGTCAGTAAGTGAAAGTACCAGAAGGAAGCCAGTAAGAAGCAGGAAATTGTGGGAAGGTGGCATATCTCCAAAGTTCTGCATCTTCTCCTTTGCATTCCTCTATCCTAAAGCCAGTTAATTACGGTTATTACCAAAAAGCAAAGACCTCAAAGTTATGGTGTGTACCACAATTATATTTCTGGATTCTATGGTTCTGCCCTTGAGTATATATTATGTAAGAGACATTTAGTAGTATTTGAGGGATTTAAAAACATTATCTTTCAGATGAACAAGATACAAGGCTGAAAATGTAATTTTTTTCATGTTTAGAGCACCTCATTGTTAGGTAATGTGACTGTTAGAAAACCATTTTGAACATTGTTTTCAGGATTATTCTAACTACAAATGGTAGGAGGAAAGCTTTGAAAGGTATTATTTAAAGAATAGATTTTTATACTACTGTACCCAACAATTTCTTTGGAATAAAGTCGAATTGGCACTTGATAGCATATTAAATGGGTATAATTACTTTACATATTAAATACCATAGTTAGGTTGGATTAAGTCTGAAGGATTTCATTTATTTTCTTTTTAAATTTATTGATACCTTTATGTTGCCCAACAGATGCTTCCCAGCCAGCATTCAAACAAACCTCATTGTGAAAATCATTTCCCCTGAACAGTTACGCAAATAACACCTAATTGGATTGCTGTTAATAGTACCTGTCATTTTCCGCTTTAGTGTTTTACTGATCATTAACAGAAAGGAAGACGTGCGCTTTGATTTTGGTGGGCAGCATGCTATCAATCTTACCCACTGGTTGTTGTTGTTGTTGTTGTTGTTGTTGTTGTTGTTGTTGTTGTTTGGTCCTTTTTCAGTCGTGTCCAACTCTTCATGACCCCATTTGGGGTCTTCTCAGCAAAAGATACTGGAGTGGTTTGCCATTTCCTTCTCCAGCTCGTTTTACAGATGAGGAAAGGGAGGCAAACAAGGTTAAGTGACTTGCCCAGAGTCACACAGCTAGTTGGTGTCTGAGGCCAGATTTGAACTCAGGAACATGCCTGGTGCTCTATCCACTGTGCCACCTAGCTGCCTTGTCCATTGTACTTGACCCAGGGTTTTTCTGTTGGCTTTTTTTTTTGCCTGTTGTTCCTGTCTTTATTTACATTGTTAAAATCACTGTGTATATAGTTCTTTAGTCTCTGCTTTTGTTCCTTTAAGTTTTGTCATGATTCTCTTCATATTTACCATACTTATGGTACAGTAATTTTCCATAGAAAGGCAACAGTAGAGTGTGTGGATAAAGGGTCTGCCTCATTCAGAAAAATCTAGGTCTGACACATACAGGCTTTGTCACCGTGGGCAAGTGACTGTTAGTGCTTCAAGCAAATCTCTCTGAGTTATACATCTGCTTTGGTAGAGGAAGTTTCTTCACTGGGAGTGCCTTGTACCACCTATGAAATCACAGAATTGGACCAAAGAAAAGAAACCCTCCAAATTCAACACTAGCCCAGGTATTGGGTACATGTTTTGTTTCCAGCTTTCTTATCTCAGATAATGCTTCTATGAGACTTACACGTGATTCTTTTTTCTCTTTTTAAAAAATAATCAACAACTTTATTTTTAAATTTATTTTTGATATTAATTTTTTAAAATTTTAAGTTCAAAAAATTTTCACCCTTCCAATCCCTCCCTTACCTATTGAGAAGGCAAGCAATGATGTGTGAAATCGGGCAAAACATATTTCCATATTAGCCATATTGCAAAAAATAAAACAACAACAAGGGAAAAAAGTATGATTTGCACTCAAAGTTCGTCAGTTCTCTCTAGAGGTGGACAGCATTTTTCATCATGAGTCCTTTGGAATTCTCTCGGATCATTGTCTTGATCAAGACTAGCCGAGTCTTTCACAGCTGATTCTCATTACAATATTGCTGTTGCTGTGTACACTGTTCCCCAGGTTCTGCTCACTTCGCTTTGTATCAGTCCATGTGAGTCTTTCCAGATTTTTCAGAAACATACTGCTCTTTATTTTTTATAGCACAGTAGTATTCCATCACAATCATATGCCACACAGAAGCAGCTAGGTGGCACAGTGGTTAGAGCTCTGGCCTTGGAGTCAGGAGGACCTGAGTTCAAATTTAGCCTAGACACTTGACATTTACTAGCTCTGTGACTTCGGGCAAATCACTTAACCCCAATTGCCTCACCAAAAAGAAAAAAGAAAAAAAACCAGTCATACACCACATCTTGTTCTGCCATTCCCCAATCAGTGGACATCCCCTCAATTTACATGGGTCTTTTCTTACTGTTGGTAACCTCTTCAGGGTATGGTCTGAGTAGTGGAGTCTCTGTGTGAAAGAATATAAACTCTTTTAGTAACTTTTCTTGCAGAATTCCAAATTGTGTAAGCAATTCAGTGAGCTCCACCAGCAGTGGATGAGTATGCTTATCTTTCCACTGCTCTAAAGGATTTAATTTAAGTAAAAGATCAAAGCTGCATTTTTATAGGATCTTCCTAAAGAGAATTAAAATGTTCCCCATAAGATAATTTTGAATGTAGAAAGAACTTCTCATCCTTTTTTAAAAATAAATTTTATTGATTTTTTTATATTGCCTAACTTTCCCCTGTATTCTTCCCTCTCCCTCTGTCCAGAGAGCCAGCAAATATAACAGATATTTTTAGAATATTTTAGAGGAAAAGAAATCAGCAGAAATGATCAATTTATTAAAAAAAATATGAAAATATATGCAATGTGCCACAATAAGTTTTTTCCTCAAACCTGGTATTTCATAGGTGTTAAGGCACCTCAGTAAGGAAGAGGTGGACCTTCTACCCCTTGTATACCTCTGTGTGTGTGTGTGTGGGGTGTGTGTGTGTGTATGTGTGTATGTATGGGTGGTGTGTTAGAAGAATCTTCTTCTGTCTATTCTTTGGGGCCATGCTTGAAGAACATCCCATCTTAAAGAAGGAGCTCCCTTCACTGCTGGAGGGTGGAAGGGCCCAGGTAGCTGACTGAGGATGTCACTCCCTGCCATGTAAGTAAGTGATGTAGTCAGGAGAGGCACAGACCACTAGTGGTCCTAATGAGTGGGCACACTGAGTATGTGTTCCCTCGGAAGAAAACATTCCCTGTGTTACACTAAAAGGAGTCATAAATTATTTTAATGGAGATCCGTAAATCAAATGTAGCTAGTTATGTGGCAATCACCAAACAGGATCACATCAAAGGAAGAGTGGGCAAAGTTATTCCTGGGAATCTGGACCCACTGTTGACTCACCTTCATGAAGAAGTGCAGGCAGCTCATTAAAGAAGACATCAAAGGTTGCCTGTCTTGTCCAGAGCTACTTCTCACAGATTAATTCTCTGTAACAAGTGACAGACAGCCTCTTTGCTGTGCTGATAACCTCCCTCCCCCCAAACCGTAAGTCATTTTCAAGGGGGAAATGTCTTAATTCCTGCTAGGATATTCCTAGATCTTTATACGAGGCTGCGTGGTACGGTGGAGAGAGCATTGAATTTAGAATAGAGGTCCTAGGTTCAAATCATTCCTCTGTAACTTACTATCTGGGCAAATCGTTGAGCTGCCTTTACCTGTTCAGAGGGAATGGGATTGGGTGACATCCTCAGTCCCTTCTAGCCTCAATCTATGATTTTGTAATTCCTTCTAACTGACTCAGAGAAAATACCTTTCTGTGTCCATCTTTTTCAGTAGCTGACTGTAGGTAAACAAAGATTGATCATCATTTAAACAAATTCCGCACATTGTGGTGTTCCAATTTTTTTCATTTTTATTAGTAAAAACCATTTTTTTGCCAGCTTCTTTGTAGCAAAATGGCCCTGTTTTGTTGAACTGTGATGTTAATGAGATTCATAATGGGACAACAGAATTTTCTGATTTTTAGTGGGCTAAGAATTTATTATTCTCAGTTCCCATGAGAGCTAAATTACCTTTTGAAAAATTTAACATTTTAACCATGCTTTTTGTTTATCACACAAATTTCTACCTGTAGTACTCCACCCATTCAGTGAACCTTCCCTTATAAAAAAGAGGGAGGGAGAAGAGAAGGGAGTAAGCATTCATGTAGTGCCGCCTGTGTAAGAAAATCAATTCATCAGAAGAAATGGACACAGGAAAGGTGTGACAGTGTATGTATCATTGTATACTTACTTCCCCCTCCAAGGAAAAGAGAACTCATTTCCTTATGTTATGTGTACATTGTATGTTGGTGCAGCAAGGGGGCACCGTAGTGAACAGAGTGTCAGGCCTGGAGTCAGGAAGACTTATCTTCCTGAGTTCAAATCACTTACTAGCTGTGGGACCCTGGACAAGTCACTTAAACCTGTTTGCCTCAGTTTCCTCATCTGTCAAATGAGCTGAAGAAGGAAATGGCAAACCACTCCAGTATCTTTGCCAAGAAAACCCCAAATGGGGTCACAAAGAGTCAGACAGGACTGAAAAACAATTGCACAGCATACATTGCACGTATTTCTGTTTCTACTTAATGCTTTCTGCAATGACTCATGTAAGTCTTCCTATATTTCTCTAAATTCTTTATATGTATTTGTTATAAGCACAGTAAGATTTCATTGTTTTCATATGTCAGTTTGTTTAGCCAATACCCAGTCAGTGGGCATTCGCTTTGTTTTCAGTTTTTTGCTACCACAAAAAGTGTTGCTAGAAATATTTATTTCGGTGAATATGGGACCTCTTTCTGTCTGTGGTCTCCTTGGAACATCCCAAAAGTGGAATTTCAGAGCCAGAGGCTATGAGCAATTTAATGACTTTTCTCATGTAATTCCAAAAGTGTTTCCAAAAATTTAAACTAATTTCCGGCTCCCCTAACAGTACATTAGCGCTCCTGGCTTCCCGGGAGCCACTCTGACATAGACAATTTGGGAGCTTTTTCGTCTTTGATAGTTTGCTAAGCGTCAAGTGAAGCCTTGGGGATTTGTTTCGGTTTGAATTTCTTTTCTTAGTTATTTGGAGTAATCTTTCATGTAGTTGCTGATAGTTTGCAGTTCTTTTGGAAACTCTATTCATATCCTTTGCCCAGTTGTCCACTGGGGACAGAACTGTCTTTAAAAGATTGCACAGCGAAATAAAGATGGGCTAGTATTTGTAATAGTAAAACTGACTATTTTTAATCTTTTTTTTTTTAAGTAAGAAATATCATTAGTAGCAATATATAATTCTGGTCTTCACTGTAGGAAGAAAATTGTTGCATTTTGAAATCTGAACTAGCCTGGCAGTATATGCTCACTCCATTAAAATGACTTTAAGGAGCCATGATTTCCATCAGTGAGGGAAGCTTCTCTATCACTTCGTATCACAGTCCCAGGCAAGCATGGTGAGGCAGAATGAGTGTTGGTTCTGGAGCCTGGGTCCTGGGTTCAAATCCTTCAGTTGCTGCCTTCCCATGTGACATCCCAAGTGCCTTCCTTGACAAGGCACTTAAATTCAGTCTCAGTGTTCTCTCATCTGTTAAATGCTAAGTGAGTTAGTCTCTATGGCCTCTGAAGTCCCTTCCACCCTTCAGTCTATGAACAAGGTTAACAGTTTCTGTGACTTACTATGGCCTGAAAAAATTCTTTGCCTTGTAGCCAGAGTTGCTGGCATTCTTTGGGATGACCATCTATTCTGTATGTCTTATGTGTTCTGAGTTCTTTGCATGTTGTCTCCTCTTATTAGAATTGAGGCCAGTAGCTGTTTTTGCCTTTCTTTGCTTCCCTAGCACTTAATACGGTAGCATATAGTGAGCCGGAGAAATTCTTTATCTGGGGTCTGTGGACTCCCAAGGGGTGAGTATATAGATTTAAGGTGGGTGTCTCTGAACTTGAATGGAAAAAAAAGTATATCTTTATTTCAGTATCACTGGTTTCTTTGTAGCCATATGAATTTCATTTTATGCTTTTAAAAGTATTATTTTGAGAAGGGTTCTGTAGGCTTCACCAGACTGCCCAAGGAGTCTGTGATACAAAAAAAAGTTTTAAGAACCTCTGTGGTGAGTGCTTGTTGGTTGGCTAACTAGAGAGAAGCCTCTACGAACTTATCTAGACCAGTCATTGCTAGGTCTTCCCTCAAAGAGCAATTTAGCATAAGGCAAAGACAATACAGAAATAACCATAATACAAGTTAAAACGTTAGTATGTAGGAGAGGTCAAATGTTAGCAAGACACATTTGAGTAGGAAGGCATCACCTACATGGAGGAGGTGATTCCTGACATAAATATAATCCTTTAAGCAAATACAATACATAATCAACAAATGCTTCAGTTCTGTATTTTAGCCAGTAAATCAACCAGCAGGCATATATTAAGTACCCACTGTGTATTATCTAAGAGGAACAACTGGGTATGGCAGATAGAGAGATTGTCTCAAAGCAAGAACTAGTTCAGATCCTTACTGGCTATGTGACCGATGGCGAGCTGCTTAACCCATCAGTGCCCTAGATAGCTTTCCAAGGGTAAAGTTGCAAAGAAGGTACCAATTGCACAGGTAGAGGGAGTCCCTTTACTTGGTAGTCCCCTACGGCAATGAACTCACGGATCCAGTCTCAGGCTTAGCACAGTGCCTGGCACATAGGAAGTGTTTAAATGCACAGTGACTGACTGATGAACACTATGATGAGGATGGAAAGGCGTTGAAGAAAACAGAAGAACAAAACAGAATTTTAAAAATGGTGAGAAGCTGACCTTTTGTGCTCTAATTACCTTTCTCCTCTGTGAACCCTGACCCTGCTTTGAAATTGCTGCCCCTTAAAGATATTGATCCCTTCCTCCTGGCCATTACATCCCTCCTACTGGCCTCGTGACTTAGCATCCTCATAAATCCCTGTCTCCTTCATCCCAGCAGTGCCAGGCTGACAGAGACATCTTCTCTAACCCTTCAAGGCCACGAAGGTACTGTTTAGTAGTGCTCAAGACTAGGGATTTAGTAGATTGTGATCACGAACAGTATGATAATATTTCTAGATAATATCTAATAATGTATTTACTAGGGAGTAATTACTGCATGGCCATTAGCTTTACTTGTATTATAGTGTAAATAGGAATGTCAGAAGCTAAAATGTTTTATTGCACAGTTACTCTTCCTATGGTATTCCATTTCTCTTGAGTCACTTGGAATTATTATTCTATAACAGTCTTAAGATCATATAAAGAACCATAAAATTTAGCAAATACCATGACATAAATAGGGAACGTGGGGGTTTATATTTCATTTTTCTCATCTAGCTCTACCTTCCTTCCTTCTTCCTCTCTCCTTCCTCCCTTCTTTCCTTCCTTTCTTCCTTTTTTCCCTCTTTTCTTCCCTCCTTCCTTTCTTCTCTTCCTCCCTTCCTTCTTTCCTTTCTGGTTTTTTAAGATTTTAAAAGATTTTTATTGAATGAAAAGTTACCTGCATTTGAATTTTCTTCTTGACTGTCTTAACCAGACCATTCATACAAATTTCTCCAAATAATTATAAGTCATAACTTAGAATTAATACTGTCATAGAGTGGTCTTCAGTATACAAAATGTTTTAGTCAAGTGTAACACAAGTTCACAGATTAGTATGGGTTACCATCAAATAGAATGCTTTTAAGGAGAAAAAAAATCCAATTCAGATGCAGTTGTGGCTTATTTGTCAACCAATTCTGTTTCCAAAAGCTGCTTTTTGCTTTCCATTATAGGGTAGGGATACCTGTGATTTCATTGGTATGGGGATGAGGAAACTGTATCATTGCAGGTCAGCACTTCACTGAACCTATAGTTTTGGAGAGTTGCCTAGAACCCTGAGAGTGTGTGACTTGGTCACACAGCCAGAATGTGTTAGAGACAGGACTTAAACCCACATTTTCTTAGCTGTGAGGCCTGATTCTGTACCCACCACTTTATTATTCAGTCTTTTTTTAGTTGTGTCTCAATCATCATGACCCCATTTAGGGTTTTTTTGGCAAAGATACTGATTGGTTTGCTATTTCCTTCTCCAGCTCATTTTACAGATGAAGAAACTGAGGCAAATAGGGTTAAGTGACTTGCCCAGAGTCACACAACTAGTAAGTGTCTGAGGCCAGATTTGAACTCAGATCTTCCTGACTCCCAGCCTGACTTTCTACTCCTATATTAAGCTAATGTTTTACTCACTTATATTGTGTTCTCATTAGTTCATAGAGGCATTTTCCTCCAGAGGTGTAGTTTAACTAATATTATGTCTTCATTTTGTGGGTGAAATCAGGAAGAGGGCAACTAAACCCAATCAGCAAATCATCATGATACAGACATTTTTATTCTATCTGGCAGTATTTATTGAAAATCATATTTTAAGGAACAAATTATCCTACTGATAAATGGTCAAAGGATATGAAGAGGAAATTTTCCTTTTTTTTTTTAAATATAAATTTATTCATTTTTAGTTTTCAATATTTACTTCCACAAGATTGTGAGTCCCAAATTTTCACTGCCATCTTATCCCTCTCCCCACTCCAAAATGGCATCTATTCTGAATATCCCTTTCCCTAGTCTGTCCTCTCTTCTGTGTCTCCCCCCCTTCTCTTATCCCCTTACCCTTCTATTTTCCTGCAGGGCAGGATAGACTTCTGTACCCCATTTCTTGTATTTCTTATTTCCCAGTAGCATGTGAAAACATTGTTTTTAAACATATGTTTTTAAAACTTTAGGTTTCAAGTTTTCTCCCTTCATCCCTCCCCATCCACCCTCATTGAAAAAGCAAGCAACTCAATATAGGTTATACATGTGCAGTTATGCAAAACACTTCCATAGTAGATATATTGTGAAAAACTAACTCTATTTCCCTTAATCCTATCCTGCCCTCCCATTTATTCTATTCTTTCTTTTGACCCTGTCCCTCCTCAGAAGTATTTGCTTCTGGTTACCCCCTTTCCCAATCTTCCCTTTTCTCTATCATCCCCCTGCTCTCTTGTCCCCTTCTCCCCCTATTTTCCTGTAGGGTAAGACAGATTTCCATCCCCAACTGAATGTGTATGTTATTCCCTTCGTAAGCCAAATCCTATGAGAATAAGATTCATTCATTCCCTCTCAGCTTTCCCCATTTCTCCTTCACTGTAAGAGCCTTTTCTTTTTGGGTTTTTTTTTTTTTGGTGAGATAATTTACCCCATTCTACCTCTCCCTTTCTTCTTCTCTGAGTATAATCCTCTCTCATCCCTTAATTTTATTCTCCAGATATGACCCCTTAATCTTCAACTCACCCTGTGCCCTCTATCTGTCTGTCTGTCTGTCTGTCTGTCTGTCTATCTATCTATCTATCTATCTATCTGTCTATCTATACATATATGTAATTTTTTTCCTCCAACTACCCTAATACTGACAAAAAATCTCATGAGTTATAATATTGTCTTTCCATGCAGGAATGTAAACAGTTCAACCTTGATAAGTCTCTTATGATTTCCCTTTCCTGTTTACCTCTTCGTGTTCCATTTGAGTCTTGTATTTTGAAAGTCAGATTTTCTATTCAGCTCTGGTCTTTTCATCAAGAATGCTTGAAAGTCCTCTATTTCACTGAGTGACCATTTTTTCCCCTGAAGGATTATACTCAGTTTTGCTGGGTAGGTGATTCTTGTTTTATAATCCTATGTCCTTTGCCCTCCAGAATATTATATTCCATGCCCTCCTGTCCTTTAATGTAGAAGCTGCTAAATCTTGTGTTATCCTGATTATGTTTGCACAGTATTTGAATTGTTTCTTTCTGGCAGCTTGTAATATTTTCTCCTTGACCTGGGAACTCTGGAATTTGGCTACAATATTCCTAGGAGTTTTCCTTTGGGGATCTTGAAGAGGAAATTTTCGAAGGATGAAATCCAACTATGAACAACCATAGGTAAAAAATGCTCCAAATCACTAATAATTAGAGAAATGTAAATTAAAGCAACTATAAGATTCCTTCCCACATTTGTCATATGGGCAAAGATAATAAAAAAGGAAAATGACAAACATTGTCTTAAATTTGTGCCATACCACTTTACAGCTTAGGCCAAAAAAGTCATTACTATTTGCCAAGTTTTTACTAAGTGATAGGGATACAAAGAAAGGCAAGTCTTTGTAGTCCAGCTTCTGACCTCATTGTTCAACCAAAACTAGTCTCTTCAAGGTGCCAGTAAGCTCCTTGAGGGTAGAAACTTTCTTTTGCCTCTTTTTGTATCCCCAGAGCTGAGCACAGTTCCTGGCATGTAGTAGTGGCATGTAGGTGCTTAATAAATGTTTATTGATTGATTGGCAAATCAGTCCTCATTCTTTTTGATCTCCCTGCAGCCTTTGGCACTGTAGATCACCTTCTTGATACTCATTTGTATTTAGATTTTTATGATGCCACTCTCTCCTGGTTCTCTTCCTATGTCTGACCGATTCTTTGTCTCCTCTGTTGAATCTTCATCTTCACCCAGTATAACAACTAAGATCCTGCAGGGCTCTGGCCTGAGTCCTCTTCTTTTCTCCTTCTACACTATTTCACTTGGTGATCTCAGCAGTTCCCATGGTTTCAAGTATCATCTTTATACAGATGATTTTTGGATCTATTTGTGCAGCCCTAACCTCTCGCCTGATCTCCAGTCTCATATCTCCACCTGCCTATTGGACATCTTGAACTAGATGTCTCATGGACATCTTAAACATCTTAAACTTAAATATCCAAAACTGGACTCATTACTTTTTTAAAAAATTCAATTCAGTTTTACTTTATTTTCAATTCCAAATTTCTCTCCTCTTTCTCCCCCTCCCCCAGTTGTTGAAAAAGAAAGAAAAATAAACTCCATTGTAAATGTGCACAGACATGCAAATCAAATGTCTCTATAAGAAAAAAAATTACGAAAAGAAATAAATAGAAGAAAATGTGCTTCATTCTGCTCTCTCTGAGACCATTAGCTCTCTTATCTGGAGGTGGATACCATGTTTCATCATGAATCCTTTGGAATTGTGGTTTGCCAGTGTGTTGATCAGAGTTACTAAGTCAGAGTGGATTATCTTTACAATATTGCTGTTTCTGTATAAATTATTCTCCAGGTTCTACTCACTTCACTTTGTATCAGTTCATAGGAGTCTTCCCACATTTTTCTGAAACTATCCCCTTCATCATTTCTTACAGCACAGTAGTATTCCACCTCATTCATATACTGTAACTTGTTCAGCCATTCCCCAGCTGATGGACATGCCCTCAGTTTCTAATTCTTTGCTACCACAAAAAAGAGCTACTATATATATTCTTTCATATGTATGGGTCCTTTTCCTCTTTATTTAATCTCTAGACCTAGTAGCAATATCATTGGGTTAAAAGGGTATGAACAGTTTAATAGCTTTTGGGGCATATGAACTCATGATCATTCTCTCCATACCTCTACCTCCTCCTGACTTCCCCATTACTGTCAATGGTACCATCATCCATCTAGTCATCCAAGCTTGCAACCTAGAAGTCATCCTTGACTCCTCATTCTATCTCACCCCTCCATATCCAATCAGTTGTCAAATCCTGTCATTTCTGCCTCCATGACATCATATGTACACATATGTGTATGTATAGATACACACACATGTGTATGTGTATATGTGTGCATACGTGTGTGTGTGTATACACACACACACATACATATAATCTGCCATCACCATCAATAAGCCCTTATCACCTCACACTTAAACTAATGGAACAACCTGTTGGTTAGTACCCTGCTTCAAGTCTCCCTCCACTCCCATCCATTATCACTTGTCAAACTGATCTTCCTAAAGTCCAAGTTTGAGAGAGGAAAGGTTGTTACAATCTGATAAAATCCTGGAAAACTTCCAAGAAGTGTAGGGCAATTTGACAAAGCATTTTCAGGCCTAGAGAAGTGCATGAACCAATCAGGAAGGTTAATATTCCAGTTTTGCTGGAATATGGAGTATGTGAAAATGAAAGAAAGTAATGTGAAATAAGGCTGAAAAGATAGAGTGTCATCAGATTGTGGAAAGCCTTGCATGCCAGCCACAAATTTGAATGGAACAGCATGAAAGGAGGGTGAAAAATTTTAAGTAGAAGAATGACATGGCCAGGTCTCTGATTATCTGCTTTATTATTTGCTACGGTCCTAAGCATTATCATTTGTAGATGAGATAATCTCAAAAAGTAGCATGCCTTGCTATTTTTCACTTTCTTTCATAATTTTTTCTCTTATTCAAGTCTTCTTTAACAAAATGACTAATATAGAAATGTTTTACATAATTGCACATGTATAAACTATATTTTGTGTGTGTGTGTGTGTGTGTGTGTGTGTGTGTAATTGCTTGCCGTCTCAGGGAGGGAAATAAGGGATAGATGGAATTTGGAACTCAAAATTTTGAATAAAAATGTTTTAAAAAATTGGAAAAAAAAAGTGGCATGCCTACAAAAAAATTCTAAAAATCCTCTTTGATGCAGAAAGGGTTTCTAATCACATCAGCAACTTTAAAATTAATTTTGAAAGAATCATTTGTTGGAGATGATATTTTAAGGACATTATAGGATTGATTCTAAGGTTCTTTGAAAAGGGGCAGGATTAACATTTGGACAAAAATCATGGACATTATTACTACTGAAAAAAAAGAGGAGATCAATGTGCCTGCTTTCCCATTTCTATTAAATCATCATAGAGTTATCTGCACAGGTATCAGAAGACATCTTTGATGAAGATATGTTTGAGAAATGAACAGTCAAGTTTCATAAAGAATATTCTATAGCAGATCACATCTTTATAGCCAGGCAATTGACTGAAAAGTGCAAAGCATACAAGATTCTGCCGTGCTTATCAGCTTCAGAAGTACAAGGGAGATGTGACTACACGGCAGTTGGTCTTTAAAAGATCTAGGAGTTTCAGAGGACTGCAAATGCTGGAGTGGTGAACAGAGTCCTTTGGCAGCCAAGAAAGATCATGTGTTCTTAAGCTGCACAGAGAGAAGCAGTGTCTGGGTCTCTAGAGGTCAAAGTGCTTCTCTGCTCCTCTGCCCTGATTAGAATCTCAGCTGGTACACTCAAGTTAGTAAGTCAGTCAGTCAGTCAGGAAGCATTTATTAAGTGCCTTTTATGTCCTGGGTTTTTGCTAAGTGATGCCTGGGAAATCAAGAAAGGCAAAAGACAGTCCTTGACCTGGAGCAGTTCACAAAGGTATAGGCAAGGCAACATGAAAACAACTATGAACAAACTAGATATATATAGATATAGATAGGTAGATAGATAGATATAGTTAGGTAGATATAGTTATATAGAGATAGATGGATGGATGGATAGATAGATAGATAGAGAGATAGATGGATGGATGGATCAAAAAATCAACAGAGGGAAAGCACTAGAATTAAGAGGGAGCAGCAGAGGCTTCCTGTAGTTGGGGCTTTAGCTGAGACTTGAGGGAAGCCAGCCCTGGGTATCCCATTTTAGGAAGGACACTGTTAAGTTGGAGATTATCTAACAAAGGAGACCAACCAGGATGATGAAGGGCCCTGAGTTCATACCATGTAAGGATGGATGAAACAAGGCATGTGTAGTATGGAGAAGAGAAGATTTGGGGGAAAGGGGAGAGGGTATGATAACCATCTTCAAGTGTTTAAAGGTCTCTGACTATGGAATGAACTTTTATTGTGTGAAAATTAGAAAGAACCAAGTTTAAGCTTACTTAACCATTAAAACAATCCAGAGGGGTAGCTAGGTAGCACAGTGAATAGAGCACCAGCCCTGGAGTCAGGAGGCCCTGAGTTCAGATATGGCTTCAGCCACATAATGTTTATTAGCTGTGGGACTGGAGGCATGTCACTTAACCCCAATTCACACACACACACACAAAATCCAGAAATGGGCTAGGCTACCTGAGGAGATGATAATAGCTAACATTTAACTGGCATTTACTATGTACCAAGCACCATGCTAAGTACTTTACAGTTGTTATCTCACTTGATCCTTACAACAACCCTGGGTAGGAAATGCTTTTATTATGCCCATTTTTTTTACAGATGAGGAAACTGAGGCAAACAGAGTTAAGTGACTTGTCCAGATCACAAACCTACTAAGTGTCTGAGGTCAGATTTAAATTCAGGTCTCTCTAACTCCAGGCCTGGTCCTCTGGTTCACTTAGCTGCCCTTAAAGAGAATGGTAGGAGTTGTGAGGGTTTTTTCCCCAACTGTAAGTCTCTAGACGCAATATGGATAACGTTAGTCAGCCATGTTGTAGAGAACATTTCTTGTTCTAGTGAGGGATTCATCCCTGGGGTGGGGACCGTGGAGCCTCCAGTCTAGATCCGTGGGTGTGGCCCTTTGACTGAATCCTAACTTCACAGAACAAATCCCCTTAATAAAAGTATTTGTTCCATAAAACTTGGACTCAGTCAAAAGGCCTCACCCAAGGACTTAGAAGGCCACATGTGGCCTCGAAGCTGCAGAGACCTAGGCCTTCCAGGTAACCTCTGAATCTGTGACCATAAAAATCATTTGATTCAGACACTGCCTTAAAGGTTCTCTTTAAAGCATCCTCCCTGCATGTGTCAAAAGTATACAAAATTCCTTGAAAGACAGCACCAGATACAGCTTTGTTTGACAACCCTATGATTTGGCATGTAATAGACAGCAGCTCACTGAAGGTGTTTGCCACTGATGTGAAGCCCAGAGCCCAGATGATGCTATATGGTTACAGATCTTAGAACACCACCTTTCCCAAAGAATTAAATGGAGAAATGTCTGGTTTTTAAGAATTGGCTATAGCAGATTACCAGTGAAGAATTCTGCCTCAAAAGCTCAGAAAAGATATCATCAAAGAGATATACCACCAGGAAAGGAGAGGAAGTGGAATGAAAAAATTTTCAAGTTCCCCTAAAATTATTTTGTATTTCTTTTGTTATATACTTTTTTTTGACCTGAATTTGTGCGTGCTGTTTCCCCTAGTTCCCCAGTAATCTCCAGACTTTGCCCCCATGCCTTGAGAACTGTGAAGCTCCTGGGGCCCCTCACTCTAACATCCCCTCCCCCCACAACTTTCCCATTCCTTTTGTATGTTGTCTTCCTCCATTAGAATGTAAGGCCCTAGAAAGCAGAGACAAGCTTGCTTTTTGCTTGTATTTCTGTTCCCAACCCTTAGGACCTTGCCTTGCAAGCTTAATAAATAAATACTTGTTGGGGCAGAGCACGACCCTGGATTCAGGAGGACCTGAGTTCAAATGCGGCCTCAGACACATAACACTTACTAGCTGTGTGACCCTGGGCAAGTCACTTAACCCCATTGCCTAGGCAAAAAAAAAAATAATAATAATAAAAAAATGAATGAACAGATAAATAAATAAATAAATAAATGCTTGTTGCCTGTCCTTGCCTGATAAAATGTCAGCCCCATGAGGGCAGGGACTGTTTGATTTGGGGTTTATATCATCAATGCCTAACCAAGTACCTGACATAGAAACCACTTACTAAATACTTACTGATTGATGACAGATTAACAGCCTTTGTGCTCCGTTGTACCTAGGCTGTGTCAAGAGATCAAGAGGAAGGACCTCTGTGCATTAGGTAGTACCTTGTGGGAAGGTCTGGACAAGAGTTACACAGGCTCCCGTACACAGGGATGAGCCAGCTGCTGTCTTAACTGTCTGTTAATGAAGGTGAGAGCATCTATTGATTAGGGTCAGCATCTTTCTACTTGAAGAGGGTGGTTAATGACCTCTTTCCTGACGAATGGTCTGGCGACTGCTTTGTTGTTCTATGCTAGCTGGAAAAGCAGCTCTCTGTCCCTTTGGCAATCTGACTCTGGCCTATCTTTCTAGGTTATTATATATTACTCTTTTTGTACATCCTACCATGTGGGAGAGTCCCAGCTTGCTCCTGCTCTGGGTTGGGAATATAAAGGAGCCTGAATGTCTGCCCTTGAAAAGGTGTGCTGTTTGCTGGAGGAGACTAGACCTCTTCAGAAAAGATAAATAACAATGCTAGTTAATTAATACTAAATGCTTTGCAAATGAGCTTGTAAAGAGTCAGGGCTCCTTGGGGGGGGGGGGGAAGAGATTGCCAGCCTCTGGCTGGGACTTAGAGGAAATGTCTCTGGAGGCAGTGGGGCTGGAGCTTGGTGTATTCAGAGGAATGGTGACATTCCTACCAGGGGACCAGCCTACACTCAAAATGTTCACTTTACTCTCCCCTCTCAGTTGAAGGAATATTGAGCCCCTTCTTTGTGATTAAAGGGGAAAACGAAAAAGCCCAAGTCAGCTCTCCCCTGCTCCAAAAGCTCTAAAGACTCCTTATTATCTTTAGTTTAAAGTACAGACTCCTGTTTGGACTTGGAAGGCCTTGGGTCTGGCTCCTGCCTATCTTTCTAGGTTATTCCACATCACTCTCCTTCCTGTGGTCGGTTGGCCAGCCACATTGGTATAGAAGGTAGTCAGCGGATAAAGCACCAAGGCTTGGAGTCAGGAAGACCTGAATTCAAATCCAGTTTCTGCTGTGTGACTCTGGGCAAGTCCCTTAACCTCTCTTTGCCCCAGTTTCTTCATCTGTAACATAAAATGGGGAATTAGAATAAGAGCACCTACCTCCCAGAGTTGTTACCAGGACCAAATGAGCTGATAATCATATAGTACCGAGTGTAGCGCCTGGCACATAGCACTATAGAAATGCTAGCTATTGTTACTATTCCCTGTAGACAATGTTCCATTTCCCAGCGGTGAACCTTTGTACAGGCTGTGTTCCGCTGCCATGATTCTAGTGCGTTCTTCTCTCACCTCAGACTCCCCGAATCTTCTCATTTCCTTAGTAGTTCAGCTCCCGCACCTCCCCTAACCATTCAAGCCTTTTCTGGGTCTGACTGTAGATTTGGGGCAGCAGAAAAGGGTTTTGAACACAGGCCCTCTGACTCCAGAACCCTCCAGCTGTTAGAGCTCCCTACCAAAAATATCATCACCATCATTTTACTTTAAATTTCTTTCCACAAACTTTGTATTCACTTTATATTTAAATGTTTCCCTGTAGACTATAAATTCTCCAAGGACTGTTTTTTGTTTCTTTGCTTTTGCATCTCTAGCACCAGCCACAGAGCAGGGGCTCTGTAAATGCTGGCTGTTTGGATAAGAAGGAGGAATAAATTCAGTGTGAGTTGCACAATGGAAGAATCTGAAGGCTCTCTTAGTAAAAAATTAAAGTTTCTTTGACAGTGCCTCAGGGAATTTTCAGGGTTAAGTACTATCATGTTCTCCTTTAAAACTTATGGAAAACTTGTTATGATCATTGTCCAGAAACCAAGACCAGTGACAAATTAATACGGCAAAAAAAATTTTTCCAAAGGTATATTTTAAGCAGCGTACTTTAAATATTTAGTAGTGTATACATTCAAGTTGGTGGTGTACTTTTATTAGAGGCAGCTGTGCAGTCGTGACCAGCAAGATGGCCTCAGATTTAGTGAGACCCAAAGTCTAGCTTCTGATAACATCTTGCCTGTGTGATCCTGGGCAAGTCACTCCATGAGATTATAAATTGTAGAATAGGGCTACTTCTGCATTGGGAGGTATTTCCTCATTGATTCACTCACAGGTCAGCACACACACACACACACACAAAAGCAAACCCTTGTTGCATCAGGCCCTTTGTGGCCTCATGAAGCCTGAGGGTTTGGCCCTATTTGAAGACATACAGAGAAGTCGGTGTTGATAATACCTTCACATACTTTTAATAAACATCTATAATGCCCCGGCTCAGGGGTTATAATCAGTGCACTCAGCCTGTACTCACCCAGCTCTCAACACCACTGGGCTGGTTGGGTCCCCACAAGTCAGTGTTCTGGGGGCAACTCTCTGGGCATGTCTCTTAGACACCAGCATGTAGTCCCCACCATGTGCCTCCCCTTACTTAGCTGGTAGGTTAAATTCTTACTAAAGGCATTCAGATAGCATAGCACAAAGAATATTTACAAAACTATATGCTTTGTAAATAGCTAACATTTATATAATGCTTACTGTGTGCTGGGCACTATGTTAAACACTTTATAATTAATATCTTAGTTGATCCTCACAACAGCCCTTTGAGGTAAATGCTGTTATTATCCCCATTTTACAGTTAAGGAAATAGAGGCAAAGAGGTTAAGTGACTTGCCCAGGGTCACACAGCTAGTAAGTGTCTGAGGCCAAATTTGAACTCAGGTCTATCTTGACTCCAGGCCCGGTGCTCTATCCACTGTGCCTACTAGCTGCCTGGTTATTTGCCTGGAGTGAGTAAGTTAGCAAGGTCATTTTAGAATATTCTTGATTTTATTATCGCTGTTGATCAGCATTTATGACAGATATTTCTGTGACATGGAAAAGACAGAGACTTTTCTGATTTGGTATGGTGTATGTACTGTTACTATGAACAGTAATTTATTGAGGACCTAATACGTGTAGAGCACGTACCAGTAGAATATAAGCCCATGGAAGGTGGTATAGAGCAGGTCCTTAATAATGTTCGTTGTTTGAAACACCAAGAAGAATACAGGAGGGTTTCTTGCTGTCTATCTGCTTAGAATTCAATTCAGTGCAATAAATATTCAAGCTCCTACTATATGCAAAGAAGAGCCAAACCAAAGACAGAAATGAAATAGACCCTACCCTGAAGGAGTTTGCATTCTCCTGGGAAGATGGACCATGTGCATAGATAAATTAATACAAAGTAAATTCAAAAGGGGGAGAACTCTGAAGGTAGAGTGAAGAAGACAAGGCATAAGCACATGCAAAGATAAATAAGACTGCGTCCACTGTTTCTTTACCTCAGCAGGTCAGTTATTTCTATACTGAGGACATTTCTTCCTTTGACACAGACCTGTACAATATACCCACCCCTCCACGGCCTTCGTATGAGACCACAGTAGAAGAAACATCACAGAGAGCCCCGTGAGCTTGAGCTCTGCCATTAATTAGTTGTATCCATCTAGGAAAGTTAGTTCACTTTTGTGCTTCAGTTTCTTCATTTGTAAAAGGGTAGAGTTGGACCAGATGTTATGTTATATTCTGAAGATACTTGTGTCTGTATTTGTGTCTCCCTTGATAGAACATAAGTTTCTTGAAAATTTACACTTTGTTTTTTGCCTTTGTATCTCCAGCACCTAATAGAGTGCCTGACAAGACCTTGATGTGTTTACTGAGTGATTGATTAATTGATTGATTGTTAAATGGTCTCCAGTGACCCTTCTGGTCTTCCAGTTGGAAGATCAGTTGCTGATTAAACAGCCTTGATAATAGGTGCTGTGCTTTCTGAGATAAATGACATCCTTTAGGCTGGAGTGTCCAGGGAAGGCTTCACAGATATGGAGACATGGGATCTGGACCAAGCTTAGAGAAGGGGGACTTATATTAAGTATAATGTATAAAAGGGAAATGAGGTATGCAAAAGTACTATACATTTCAGGGGAAGGGGAAGGAAAAAAACATTTACATAACACCTGTTCTGTACCAGGCACTAAGTGTGCTTTTTTTTTTTTTGGCAAGACAATTGGGGTTAAGTGACTTGCCCAGAGTCATACAACTAGTAAGTGTTATGTGTCTGAGGCAGGATTTGAACTCGGGTCCTCCTGACTCCAGGACTGGTGCTCTATCCACTGCACCACCTAGCTGCCCCATGCGCTAAGTGCTTTTTACAAATATTATCTCATTTGAACCTCACTCCAACTCTACAAGGTAGATTCTACTTACTGCTACTACTACTACTGCTACTACTACTACTACTACTACTACTACTACTACCACCACCACCACCACCATAACTACCACCACCACCACCACTACTACTACTCCTACTACGAGTACTAGCACTGCTACTACTACTACTACTACTACTACTACTACTACTACTACTACTGCTACTACTACTAATAATAATAACTAACATTTATATACTGCTTAACTATGTGCCAGGCATTGTGCTAAGTGTTTTAAAATTATTATTTCATTTGATCCTCACAACAACCCTGGGAGGTAGGTGCTATTATTATCTTCATTTTTACAGTTAAGGAAACTGAGGCGGAGATTAAGTGACTTTGCAGAGTCACATAACTACAAAGCGTCTGAAACCAGATTTGAACTCAGGTCTTCCTGACTCTAGGCACTAGTGGCTTTACTTCAACGAGTGGTCTGAAACCAGAAGTAGACTAGAAGCTGTTCCCCCTAAACTTGACATTTCCATTTTTCTCAGGCTGTCCCCTGTATCAGCTCAGGCATTGCCACTTCTGCTAAGTCTTCCCATTGTTAGTGCTTGATTTTAGGAATCTTGATGTCATTCGCTGCTGCCAGCTGCTCAGAGGGCTTAAGTATGTTCTCGCCCCTACCCCCCATATTGTTCTGTGACTGGGCAGGTTAGGTGTTTCCTGCACATATTTCAATAGGTCCCAGGGAGGAGGCCTCCAAATCCAGTGTTTGAGTGGGTTGGAACCATACTCTTATTCTTCTGGGTCCAGTGATGGAGAAAGGAGGAAGAGGTGTAGAGCTAGACAAGCAAACTATAAAAACTGGTGTGCTTATGTATCTGAGGCAGCTAGGTGACTCAGTAGATAGAGCACCAGGCCTAGAGCCAGGAGGACTCGTCTTCATGAGTTCAGATTTGGCCTTACATTTACTAGCTGTGTGACCCTGGACAAGTCACTTAACCCTCTTTGCCTCAGTTTTCTCATATATAAAATGAGCTGGAGAAAGAAATGGCAAATCACTCTAATATCTTCACCAAGAAAACCCCAAATGGGGTCAGGAAGAGTCAGACACAACTGAAAAAAAAAAGATCAAACAATGACACATACGTATGTATGTATCTATAGATAGAGAGAGAGATACACACACACATACACACACATATATGTCTACATATACACAGTGTACGCATAAGTGTATGTATATATGTATGTAGGCACTATAGATGTTCAATGAGCTGGGGACAGAATTCAGGACAAGGAAAAGATCTCATTTGAGAAACCAAATAGTTCTAATTTTGATCCCAAACTGCTTATCACAAAAGCCATTTCTGTCCACACCAGTATTCTTCCATTCACCATGTATTCCTGGAGATCATGAAAAATATATATAATTTCAGAGGAATTAAAATTAAATGTCACCCAATAAACAATGAAGAGCTACATGGTGGATATAAGCAAGCTACAGCATGGTGTCAGCTTACATGGCATAAAAGATAATATTGAGGACACGTATGAGTGAAAGAAAACAGGCTGATTATGTAGAGAGAATAAAAGACAACTGATGGATAGCCTGAGTGGTACATAAGTACTGCTCTCCCCATTATGATATGCAAAGAAGGCTTCATCGAATTGGGTTGATTCTCTCCTGGAGATGTAAGAGAAAAACACGGTCAAAAAGGTGAGGCAACATAGGGGACGTGCATTAACTAATAAGTATTTTTGTTCATATCTTTAATTCTTTTTGTTTTAAATGCCTTGAGAGGGTCATTGTAATTTCTATCTTTGTGTCTCTAGTGCTTGGTAGATTATGTTGCCCAAGTAGGCACTTTACAGGTGTTTATTGAATTGGTGGAAGAGCACCCATTGAAATCAGAGGTCTTTCAAAGTATCCACCCTTGAGGTTGTCACTTTCTGATTTTCTTCTTTTCTTCTTTTCATTCACTGGTAGTTTTTCCATTATGTCAAGAGTGAATGGCAGTGAGGAGAGGGTATTTTTTGGCTGAATAGTTAGAATATAGTGAGGGGGAGAACCACCAGCACAAACCCAATCTACCCTTTTCTTCACTGAGGTATCTGTCTCATTGAAATTCAAGGGAGGCTCTTAGAGGTGCAGAATGTGGATTCTAATCATTGGAACTAGCTTTCAGGTGGAGAAGAGGTGAAGTAGAATTGATTCTAATTCACACTGGAAGCTGACTCTTGTGAGTCTCCGATCTGAAAAGTTTTAGGTGCCAAGCTTCATTTAAGAACTGGAAAAGGTAGGCCCATCAAAGAGGTACTTGTTCCTACAAAATCCCTTCAGGCTTTAATTTTTCTCATCCTGTCTCCCTAACTACACTTTTCTCATTGGTAGCTTCCTTATTTCTTCCTGGACTTGTTGATCAAGGTGCTTTGCCTAGCATTTTGGCCTCACTCATATCCTTGTTTATAAAGAGTGTCCCAAAAAGGTCTCAGTGCTGTTTTAAGCTTTTTTTAAAAGGCAGTAAGACTTTTCAGACACCCAGTATGTTAGCCTCTCATTTGCCTTGGTAGTTTCGACTAGGTCATGCCTACACAATTTTAATTGGATTCCCCAGTCCTTGATCCTGCTACTTATAGTGTGTTATCTCTCTTTCTTACTGATATTTCTTGTACCAAAGCTTCATAGATTTAGAGATGGAAAGGAATTTAAAAGTCATCTTGTCCACCCCTTCCATTTTACATTTGAGGAAACAAAAGCATAGAAAGGTCAAGTGACTTGGCCAAGGTCACAAGAAGTGGCAAAGCCAAGATTTGAACCCAAATCTCCTGACTCTTTCTACTGCTGAGCATTTATTACTAGCTCCAAATGAGATATCTGTCTGCTGTCCTCTGTTTGTACCAGTGAACCATGTAGTTTCCTTAGCCACAGGGTGGAGTGCTCCCATCCTCTCCTTCTCCTCCTCCTACCACTACCTAAGAATTCTTTTTGTCTGTCCCAGTGCTTTGTCTTATAGAACTATATTCACCCTGTGAATGTCAGGTGTTCCTTCAGCCAAACCATCATGGTTGATCATAGGATAGAAAGTCCTGCAGGCCCCAGGGACCACTACCAGAAAATTAAAGACATAAGTGTGTCAGAGAGAAGCCATGACTCAGGTCTTGAGAACTCAGCTGGGCCCATCAGGATTGGCCCTTGGGCAATGAGATTATATAATGATGGTTTAAAATATTTGGTTGGAATTTTGTCAACTGATTTCAATGTGGTATGGAAATTTTTCATAACTGTAGCACTTGGCGTAAGGCAGTGTCCTTGTATGCTTCTTCCATTTATTTAGGAACACAATTTATCTATTGATTTTTTTTAAGGCATACTCTTATGTTCATGCAAGCATAGCTTCTTTATCTCTTAATCATTTCTCAATAACCCCTAGGGGATAAACTTTATATTTTATTCTGTCAGTGAAATATTACTATTATCAGGCAAGTACTAGCAAGAATAATTTGGAACAATCAAGGTGTGAGAAGCCATTGGAATAATGTGAATTTAGCTTCTCTAGCTTCCTTTAAGTGGGAAAAGGTAAAACCAGCCAGTTCTAAGGAATTTCTTTCACATGGAATTCTTAAGAGGGAGAGAGAGACAGATAGAGACTGAGATAGGGGGAGAGACAGAGAGAGACAGGGAGAGACAGAGATAAGAGAAGAGACTGACTTTTTAAGAATCCCAATGTTGGGATTCTTTCAGGGGAAAGAAACTGTAACAAACATTCCTCTCCTGGGAGTGAATGTTGCACATGTTCCCAGCAACAGTTCTGTGTCAGCTATGTTTTCAAGATATCAAATATAAAACAATTGTTTCCATTGGTTAATATTATACTTGATCTGGAGGTGAATTTTGTTGAGCCTGGGTCAATACAAGTGTCTGAGGGATACAGGTGTTTTGTTTTGTTTTGTTTTAGGCAATTGGGGTTAAGTGACTTGCCCAGGGTCACACAGCTAGTAAGTGTCAAGTGTTTGTTCTGAGGCCGGATTTGAACTCAGGTCCTCCTGACTTCAGGGCCGGTGCTCTATCCACTGCACCACCTCGCTGCCCCAGGATACAGCTTTTTTAAATTAAAATTTGGCCAACAAAAGCTTTATGGTGATGAGAGTTTACAAACCTTTTTTTCAGGGACCCAGAGGAAAGAGGTTGGTAGATTGAGTGATTGTTTCAAATGACGTTGCATGGATGAATAATTATTCTGGTGCTCCTAACTCGAGGCTTCCTAAAAACAAATAAGAAAGTCTTTTTTCTTCAGTTCTTTCTTTCTAAGTTTCTGAGGTTAGTTTCTTATTATATTTGAATCTTTTATGTCAGTCCTTTTATTATTTAACGTTTTGTAAATGTGAAATATATGAGGTTATATATAAAAAAATAAGAATTTTCTTTCTTTTAAAAAATTTTTAGGGCAAGCAAATAAAGTAGCCAAGGATGCTGCTAACAGATGGACTGGTATGTACTCTACACAACCCTGGCTCCATTTCAAGCATTCTAAAATAAACTTGTTGTGCCATAACTGTTAGGACATCAAAGATGTGTGTGTGCCTTGCTCTATGTAGGAGCTACAGTCCTGAAAACTTAGGTGTTGATTGGATTTTGTAAATTCAAGCATTGCTTAAAATATACACAGTGAGATAATTTTAAGGAAGCTTATTGTGATTCAAAAAATATATATAATTTTGTAAACCAAGTAATCCCTTCAAAATGTCTCTTTTTAAGTAATGTTTCCACTAAGTCTCTGTGACTTGGAAAGATCACTTTATTTCTTTGAACCTCAGTTTTTTCTGTGAAAAATCAAGGTATAGATTTGGGGACGTGGAAAGAGTGCTCATTTTGGAGTTAGAAGACCTGGATTCAAATCCAGCTCTGCTGGTTAATACTAATGTGACCATGGACAAATAACCACTCTTGGTTTCAGTTTCCTCATCAAAAAATGAAGGGGTTGAATTAGATGACCTCCAAGGTCCCTTCCAGCTTGAAATTTATGACCCCTTCCAGATCTAAGGTTCTCTAAATGTTTTTGCATATTGAGTTTACCCAAAGCAAGATTTGCCTTGATGGTTTTTGTAGTATTTAGAGCCCTGTTCTTGTTCCCTCTTATCCCTTTGTCCACTAATATTTTTCCACCTTAGTTTCACCATTTGCAAAACAAATTTAATTTATCCAGTTTATATCTGATATATTTTCAAAGGATTCAGTTACATATAAGTTACAAAAGACCTTCTCATATAGAGAAATCTCATAAAATATCATTAAAGGTATAGAGAAGCATAATTAACATTGCTAAAAATAGCCAGAAAATTAACTGCTCACATTTTTCCTCTGTTTAATTATAAAATCTGATGGTATCACTAATGATTGGGTATCTTGTTGAAAAATCCTATGTATCTGTATACACACACACACACACACGAAATCTTTCCTCTCTTTCTGTGAAGCAGCATGGTTAGATACAAAGAGCATCATTGCCAAGTCTCCTGACTCCCCACCTGGGCCTGGGATCTCTTCAGTAGAGATAACTCATTACTCTGCCTCAACAGAAGTAATTTGAAGATCATTTGTTGTCTAAATATTAGTGGCATTAGTAATTATTAATAACAATAATACTTATAAATAACTGGAATCGATAACAAATAATACTGATAAAAATCCCTTCTGTTATTGGCAAAGTTGCCATCTTACTCCTTGGGGTCACCTCTTTTTATATCAGTTGAATAACTTCTAGGAAATATGAAGTAAGCCTACATAAAAAAATGTACAGGATGATAAAGAAAAAGGATTAGATAATAGAATCTGGAGCTGGGAAGATCTGGAAACTATTTGGTCTAATGCATTCATTTTAGAAATGAAGCAACTTAGGCCAGAAGAAGGGGAGAGAATTTTCTGGGTCACACAGATAGTAAATAGCATGGCAGAGTCAGGATTCTAATTCAGGTCCTGGGACTCAAAATCTAGTACCATACTACTGGGCCACACTAATTGATTTAGGGAGTGTATGTTGAGCTGTTTTTCAGTTGTATCCAACTCTTCATGACCCCATTTGGGGTTTTCTTGGCAAAGATAATGGAGTGGTTGGCCATTTACTTCTCCAGCTCAAATTTATAGATGAGGGAACAGGCAAAGAGGGTTAAGTGACTTGTCCAGGGTCACACAGCTGTTAAGTGTCTGAGGCCAGATTTGAACTCAGGAAGATGAGTCTTCCTGGTTTCCAGACCAGTGTTCTATCCACTGTGCCATCTAGGGAGTATATAGTCAATCACATATTTAAAAAAATTTATAAATGTCTGTTTTTTTAAACTGGGAGGAGAAACCTGGCATTTTTCACATCTGTATGACAAATAGAAAGCAATTTCCCCAATAATTCTTAAGTGCAAGTTAGTTATATAGTAAGCATTCAGTTAATAGTTAATGATTCTTATAAAAATACACTCCTGCTTTTCTAGTGTCCTTTACTCTCTTCATGACTCAGCTTGAACGCTATCTTCTTTATGAAATCTTTCCTTCTACCAACTGCTAATGTCCTCCTACCCGAAACTATTTAGTATTTATTCTACATTCTCCTCCCCTTCCTCCCAATGTAAGCTCCTTCAGGGCAAGGACTATTTCATTTTTGTCTTTCCCTTCATATGACTGAGAGTACCTAGTACATAATAGGCACTTAATAAATGCTTCTTAATTCAATAATTCCACATTAGTGATGACTTTCAGAATTATGTTTGGAAAAATGGTGCTTAAACCTTTCTCTTTTCTATTACCTCCAACATATTTGTATTGGTAAAGAGCCTAGAATATTTCAAATCAGGGATGGAAGATATTTTTAAATCTACAGTAGCAACTGCTAAAAAAAAATGTATTTCTATTTTGTGGTTACAACTTGATCCTCCCAACATAAACATGTGCTACAAAAAGGTTCCCAAAGATACAAAGACAAGTGAGAATACAAATTATAACTAACACAGACTTGGCCTTTTTAAATTAAATATGATTTAAGGCATATTGCCAAAATTAGAAACCTCTAATTACATAGGTATTAGATGGAATTTCTCTCCCTTTTTACTAAAAATGTCTCAAAGATATTGCCTTAACTTCAGATAGTATAATGTTCAAAAATTCAGTATCACAGATAATCATTTTTAAGTGAGCCATTACATCAGGTTGCCTAAAGCTATAAATACAATTATATAAATACCTCAAGCAATGTCTTATATGTTTTATGTCATGAAATATTTCTTAAAACAGTATTTTTGCCATTAACATTTAACAAGGAAAACTAACATTATACTACCCCCTAAACTATTTAAATCAATAATGAGACAAGAATAATTTATTACAAAATTGTTCAAAGCTAAGTAGAGGCTTATGTAGTGGATAGAGGGCCAACCTCCAAATCAGGAAAACCTGGGTTTAGATGCTGCTTTTGAAAGGGCAAGTCACTGAATCCTTCACTGCCCTGAGACAATCATCTAAAAATTCTCAGTTGTATAAGAGTTGCTTTCTGCATCAGTAGATGAAGTTTCTACACTTAGAGTTTCTCAGCCCATAAAATGTCCAGATTCACTTTACCAAAAAATAATGAAAAGGGCACAAAAGGAATATGCTTTTTTATGTCAGGTATGTGCATATTTGTATACATGCTATCTCTTCAATTACAATGTAAGCGTCTTGAGGGCAGGGGCTATTTTTGCATTTTCTTCTTGTTCCTAGCACTTAGCATAGTGTCTGGCACATCATAGTAACTAATAATAATTACAGCCAACATTTATGTAACGCATTAGGGTTTGCAAGACACTTGACATATATTTTCACATTTGACAGTAAGCTTTTATTAAATGTGTAGTGACTGCTTAATAAAGGAACAAAGTGTCCCATTTCGATCGACATTCCCCATTTTCTCCCAATATTTTGTTTTGTATATACTGTAGTCATACAGCAAATAGCTAGCTACCTGTTATAGTGTTATCTGTACACTTATCACAGTCACTACATTCTAAGATGGTCTTTGTTCACCAAACTGTTTCTGAACGTATGCTATGGGCAAGGCATTGTGGGAGATACAGAGATGACTAAGGCACACTCCCTGCACTTTAAAAGATGAGGAGCAGGGTGGGGGTGGAGGGAAAAAATGAGAACTTGACAAGAAATGATTTAGTGCTTGTGATCTTGGGTGACATTGTCACCCACAGCCAAAAGAGCTTATCCAGGGAAGATTTTATCAGTGCCTCTGTTTTGAATTAAATTGCTCCATTCTGCTACATTGTGGGGAGATTTACAGTTTAAATGCACACACACACACACTGTACCTTCCCAAACCTCCCCTTTGGTCATACATTCCTGAAATAAAATCTTTTTTACTTCCCTGTACATACAGCTCCCTGGTGAGGTAGCTCCCTTTAGCAGCAGAGGTTAGTACAATTGTTCTACAATTCATAGTCATAGTGAATCGCTTGGGGCACCACAAGGTTAATTGACTTGCCTAGGGTCACACAGTCTGTATATGCCAGAGGCAGGGTCTTAACCCAGACCTTGCTAACATACAAGTAGATGCTCTATCAATTACACCATGCCACCCTTCACTTCCCACCATATTGCATCCTTTTTCTCTTCCCTAAAACTCATCCCCACTCCTCTAGGACCCTCCCTATCTTAATATATTATGTTACTATGTTAATGTTAACATATGTTGAGCTACAAACACTGACTCTTCTTCCTCAGTGTAATTTTATAATCTTAAAATTGTTTTTTTTTCTTCTAGAATTCATATTTACTTCTCTACATCTAGTCTATTACATTATTAGCTTGAGAGCAATAGCCATGTATCCTGGTAACTTCCTGAAGTACCTAATGACCCCCTTTATAAATCTTTTATTGTCTCAGTACCATCAGAACTTAACAGATGATAATGTGAGGGCACACAATAGCTGTCTGCTGTCAAATCTGCTAGCTCTAAAAGCCTTAGACTACCTCAGTTTACCTCAGTTTCCTCATCTGTAAAAAGAGCTGAAGAGGCAAATGGCAAACTACTTCAGTGTCTATGCCAAGAAATTGCTCCCCTCCACACGCATGCATGCACGTGCGCGCATGCATATACACACACACACACACACACACACACACAGTCGTGAAGAGTCAGGCATGACTGAAATGATTAAACAAGAAATGGTGTGTGTGATGACCCAAGAGATTGGAGACGACGTTTCCAACCTACTCTTTCATGGAGGTGGGAGATCCGTAGCTATTACACATGGCACATACATGTTTTCAGACTTTTTTAATGTATCAGTCAGTTGTGTTGGGTTTGTTGGGTTTTTTCTCCCCCTTTCTAAAAATACTATTTATCATATGGGTTAGCTCTCTGGGAGAGGGAGTGATATTTGGCGTGACTACAGTGATATGAGAAACAGAAAATATCAATAAAAACTTATTTTAACAAAAAAGAAGGAAGGGGTAGTAGAAAATATTGTCAAGGGTAAGGGTGTATCGATGACCATTCCTTCATCCAGGTCAGGCATGAGTTAAGGATTCATAAGTAGTTGGCTTCTTGTATGGCATTTTTATTGTGAGTTTCTTTTTACTCTGCTCAGAATATACTTTTTTCTTCATTTTTTTAAATCTCTATAACAGTTTGTCATTCATCATCAGCAGCAACAACATTCTGTAACTGAAAGAAAATATTTGACAATTCTTGACTAATTTTGGCACCCAGGTGCCAATCCAGAAAATCGTCTTTGAAACAATTATAAGTGCACCTATCCTGAAATATTTCTTTTCTTTTTCATAGATAACATATTTGCTATAAGATCTTGGGCCAAAAGGAAATTTGGATTTGAAGAAAGTAAAATTGACAAAAACTTTGGAATTCCGGAAGACTTTGACTACACAGACTAAAACATCCTGTGGTCATTCTAGATTACTTGTGTGTATTTGTACAAATTAATATTCTCCTTCCAAGACTGTCAGACTGTCATATACTTGCAACTGTGCCTTTTTTTTATTTGGGTTCCTTCAATAAAGCATAAAATCCTTGTGTTCTACCCCTTTTTATTAAAAGAAGTACAGTAATCTGCCTTGGGAGTAGCAAGTACCCCTTGAGGGTCTTAAAAATGAGGCAAGGGATTCCTCTTCAGGTATGAGAGTATGTGCTTCGGTTTTGGCCTTCCAGCTCTGATTCTGTGATTCTCCTGTGTCTTCAGCCATGCGCTATTCAATAAAATAAGAAGATTCCAGTCAAATTAATACAGGCTCATCAGAGATACTGAATTTGTTTCTTCAAGGCATTATTCTAAGAGGTTGTGACAATGTCATCATTATCCTTTCCCTCATATATTAAATAAGTAGAAAAATATGGACTAGATGGTCCCCAAGGTTCCTTCTAGCTTTCATATACTTTGAAGTATATGAAAAATCAGCTGGTCTTAGAGTCTGGAAAACCTGGGCTCATCTTCCTTCTAACATTTTCATTGGCTATGGGACTCTAGGCAAGTCTATATTTTAATGCCTCAGGCCAATCTCTAACATGCTAAGATGTAAAATTGGTACCATTCTGCATTGATAGAAAGACTTTTCTTCACTGGGAGTGCCCTATTCTACTGACGTTTTAAGTCTGGTCCAAAAGAAAATTAAAATAGGTATAATTCATTTAAGTTCATGTGTATGGATCAAAAAACATTTTTAAACCATACTACCTTCTTTATTATTTCCCTTGTCTGGCTTTAGTCCCTAGAAAACATTACTGTTGCCTGAGGATTCTGAGAAATCTGTATTTGGTACCCAAAAGATATTATTGAATCTCACACAAGAAATACAGAGATCCAATGAAGTCCAATTTAAAGTTACACTGAAATTCCCAAAATAACAAGAGCAAATTTTTTTTTAACTTTTAATTTAAAATTTTTCTGTTGCAAAGACCAAGCAATGTCACAGTGCCCAGGTTTATGCTATTTTTACATTAATATAACATGGGGGGGTGGCGGTAGTAATAATCACTTTCATTTACTTCTTTAAAGTGTACAAAGTGCTTTATACCTCTTATGCAATTAGAGCTTCAAAACAACCTGGTGAGGTAGGTATTACATAGGTTGTCCTCATTTTATAGATGAGGAAACTGCTATTCAGAAGAGTTATGTGACTTGCCCGTGATCATCCAGTGAATAAATGTCAGAGGCGAGATGTGAGTCCAACATGAATTTTTAATATTTAAAAGTGACTCCCTTCTCTCCCCTCCTTCCTTACTCCCACCATATCCTTATATTTGTGAGCCTCTTCAAAGGTGATGATGTGGCTCAAAGCATATTTGAATATCATTATTAGCTATGGCATTCAGGGATTTTTTTAATTAATTTTTTTCAATTAACAAAGACTTGGTTTTTTTTCTCCCTTCTACCTCACTCCACCCCACAATTGGGAAAAAAATTTTTAAAAATTTGTAACAAAAATGTATAGTCAAGCAAAAACAAATTCTTGAATTAACCATGTTCAAAAACTATAGGTCTCATTCTGCACCCTGACTTGACCACCCTCTGTCAGGACATTGTCATTCAAGGATTTTTAAAACTACTCCCTAAAAGAGATAAGTTAAAAAGAAACTCACCCCACATGTAATTTTTTCCCACTTGAAAGATGTTATTTGTAATATTTGCTAGCCAATCTGAAATGACAGCTTTTTAAAAATATAGACAGCTGTTTATAACATCCTTTACCACCTCCATTTTTTTCCTCTCTCAAGTAGTCAAGTTCAGATATTTTCTCTTTGGCAGCTTGAAGGAAATACTCCATATGTCTGTAGTGACCCAAATGGCGTTCATTATGTTTGCTGGTGAATTTGGTCTTTGTATATGCAGAGTGCCCCAAGGCTCCACAATCACTTCCTGCAGGTGGGTAGGACAGGATTGGTCCATTACCACTTGTGTAAGAGTTTATGTTGCCTGGGGAAATGATTCTCACTGGAAAGAAGGTCTAGTGTAGGAGAGGAATAAATAACCTGTCACAGTGCAGCGTCAGTGTAACAAGTCATCCCCTTTAGCCAATGGCATTACCAGAGAAGAAACTTTCCTGTTCAAGGAAGGAGCTGTTGTGTATAATACTCTATGCAAATCTTTTAAATTCTAAAACTAAAGGCACCTAAAACATTATTTAGCCAAACATGGGAGAGACTTGACTCTCCCTGCCTTATTAAAAATAATACCCTAGAGGTATAAGTGAGAAGGATGAGAGTTAACCCAGGAGCCAACATCAGGCATAACACTTCATCTCAATCTTCTAGGGCTTTTTATTGGAGTTGTTCTATACTATCGGTCACAGTCAGAGTGACCAAGGACCCTCAGTCTCCTGTTTCTTCTTATTCCCTGACCTGTTTAACTCTGAGGCTTGGCACTACTTTGGTTATGCTCAAAGTCAGCATAGAGATTCTCAACCAAATTCTAGCCCTTCATCTACTCAGTAACTGACCCAACTTCCTAGGTCTCTTTGATAGGGTCAAAATCGCCCTTGAGAGGTGACATCTGCTAGACTTAAAGTCCATGAGGGGAGGGACCAGGTCTTTATTATTATTATTATTTATTTAGTTTTAGTTTTCAACATTCACTTAGATAAGATTTTGAGTTGCAAATTTTCTCCCCATTTCATCCCTCCCGACACCCCAAGACATAGTGCAGTCTGAATACCCCTTCCTCTAGTCTACCCTCCCTTCTATCTTATCCCCTTCCCTTTCTATTTTCCTGTAGGGCAGGATAGATTTTTTTTTTTTACTGAGGTGATCGGGGTTAAGTGACTTGCCCAAGGTCACACAGCTAGTACTGTCAACTGTTTAGTCTGAGACTGGATTTGAGCTCAGATCCTCCTGACTTCAGGGCTGGTGCTCTATCCACTGCACCACCTAGCTGCCCCAGGGCAGGATAGATTTCTATACCCCATTGCCTGTATATCTTATTTCCCAGTTGCATGTGAAAACAGTTTTTAACATTTGTTTTTAAAACTTTGGGTTCCAAATTTTCTCCCTTCCTCCCTCCCCACCCATACTCATTGAGAAGGCAAGCAACTTGATACAGGTTATACTTGTATAGTCATGCAAAACACTTCCATAATAGTCCTGTTGTGAAAAACCAACTCTATTTCCCTTACTCCTATCCTGCCCCCATTTATTGTATTCTCTCTTTTGACCCTGTCCCTCCTCAGAAGTGTTTGCTTCTCATTACCCCCTCCCCTAATCTTCCCTCCCCTCTATCATCCCACTACTCTCTTATCCCCTTCCCCCCTATTTTCCTGTAGGGTAAGATAGATTTCCATACTCAATTGAGTGTGTATGTTACTCCCTCCTTAAGCCAAATCTGATGAGAATAAGAGTCCCTCATTCCCTCTCACCTTCCCCCACTTCCCCTCCACTGTAAAAGCCCTTTCTTGTCTGTTTTATGTGAGCTAATTTACCCCATTCTACCACTCCCTTTCTCCTTCTCCCAGTATAATCCTCTCATATCCTTTAATTTTATTCTCTAGACATCACCCCTTCATTTTCAACTCAACCTGTGCCCTCTATCTATCTATCTATGTCTGTCTATCTATCTACATATATATATATATATATATATATATATATATACACACACATACAAACATACATATAATTTTTCCCTCCAAGTACCATAATACTGACAAAGATCTCATGAGTTACAAATATCATCTTTCCATGTAGGAATGTAAATAGTTCAACCTTAGTAAGTCCCTTATGATCTCTCTTTCCTGTGTACCTCTTCATGCTTTTCTTGAGTCTTGTATTTGAAAGTTGAATTTTCTATTCAGCTCTGGTCTTGTCATCAAGAATGCTTGAAAGTCCTGTATTTCACTGAATGTCCATTTTCCCCCCTGAAGGATTATACTCAGTTTTGCTGGGTAGGTGATTCTTGTCTATAATCCTGTTTCCTTTGACCTCTGGAATATTATATTCCAAGCCCTCTGGAGACCAGATCTTTTATTAGAACCTGCATAGCACATTACCTCATACATAGTAGACACTTTGAAAATATTGATTGAATACCAGCCTCCATTCCCTTGCTTTCAAGTATTCTAAGCAGATGGAATCTGTCCTTTTATTTTCTTTTAAAGAATAACAAGTAAAAATAATTTACAAACCAGTGGTTAATATCCTTGATTGTCAAGAAATTTTTCATGTTCAGATCAGATCACCAGGGTAGAACAAGATGAATGAATGGGAAAATGTATTGAGGGCTTATTGGGTGCAAGTAGAAAGAGAAAATTGGAGACAGTCCCTGCTCTTAGCTCACAATAAAAAAATGAATGTTCATGGTGGAGGAACAAGTAACCACTCCCCCTTTCCACATTTGACTTATTGTTGGCTTATAGTATTGATAAAGATCTGGGTGAGTCTCAGAAATAGCTGCCATTATATCCTATTCCTTTAAGATCGGAAAAAGAAATGAGTGAGTATGCTAGTGCTGGACCTCTTCAGAGTGGTTTAGAGTCAGGAAGTTCTAAGGTGTGAATACAGACTTAGTATCTTCAAAAGATGTAAGTCAGCAAAAATTTAGTTCAGTAACATGAGAGTTATATTTGTAACAATGTTTTTTCAAAGCAGTATCAGGATTGATCATGGTTTCAAGTGGCAGATAAGTTCCCTTGGAGGTGTTCTTTATGATATCTATATAAATAAGTCAGGAGAAAAATGTACTATCTTTTTATGAATGTAGTGGGCTTGCATGTATGTGGCTGGGTTTCAGTAAACCAGCTTACATTTAGAAAAATCCTACCTGTAAAAGGTATAAGTCATGAGTCTCAAGGCTACTGGTATCCATGATTGTAGGCCATGAAATGA